TGTATATATATATTTTCCAGTGGTAAGGACACCAAAAGTACGAAATTTGATGGAAAACTTATGGAATTATGCTCTCGCAAAGTTAGCAGTCTTGGCAATACTTAAGCATTGGCGATTTTGCCCCTTTTGAGCCCTATTTTCGGCCAATTCCATTGTTCCAGCCGACCAAACTCATAGCTATTTCGCTAGAACTCCATTTGTTCTATCAAGCAAGAGCAAGAAACTGCCCATTTGCTGAGTTCAACTACCCAATAAAGAGATCAGAAATTGGTAATTTGGCCAATTTCATACACAATCCAAGTAATGCCAATCTCAAAACAGGGGCCAGAATAAACAATGCAGACATTCCTAGCACTAAAATAACATTTTCTCTGTTCATTTGTCACATCTCCAGGCCCCTCTTATATTATGCTTGTTTTCCATTTTGATTTTTATTCACACAAAAAATAGAAGATTTACTGTCATGCAGACTACTGCATTATTGTAAAAATGGTATAAATAATATCAGCACATTTGTGGAAGCATATCAGACCCACCAGTTGGCATGTATTGGACGAGTGGTGTGATTTGTTTATTCTTGAACAACGGCAAAAATCGAACATTTCCGCTACTTTGAGTTCAATTTCAAGGTACAGCACTTTTAGTCCGAAAATCATTCAAAATCATCTCTATTTCTGTAATGTATCTTCCATTCTATCAAGTGAGACCAAGAAAATGAGAATACAACCAAAAATACCATACAAAAATACACCTCAAAGTCAGGGTCTTAAACCAAAAACATGGTACAGCAGGATTTTTTTTTTATATTGTGCACTTACCACATAAACCCATTCTTTCATATCTAGGCCCCAAATTTACCACCTACAGCTTATCTGAGTGAGCTGAGCTCATGGCACATTACTATGGCATGGACAGTGACCTGAAAGACGTAGTACTACGGCACGGCCAGTGAAAGGGTTAAAACAACCAATTTGGTTTCTGAGCTAGATAAAAAGTTAAAATTTGTTGCATAGAGGAATTAGTCACCACAAAATAAAATGACTTCACTGCAAACAATAAGAGAACCAAATTCATCAAGAAATATGGGATCTGTGCCACTAGTGCCAGGATGATACACAACCACCAGTCTCATAATCTGCTGATGACAATTAACTGCTACTTTCATTACCTCAACTGACACAACAGACTGACCTGTTTTAGATTCACTCTGACTTTCCTCCTGTCAATAAACGGCATCAGCACTGAAATATCACTCATAACAAAATAAAAATAATAAAACTACATTTTATAAACAATAGACATGTTTAAATTCCTAGCTACAGCATTACAAAATAATGACTAGTCAGAATTACTCATACATACTTGACAATAAATCGTCAAGGTAGTGCCAAACGTACCAAGCCTGTTATGTATAAATTTCTGTTGGACTAACTTAAATGGAATATCATAAGTGCTCTGCCTCTTGGGTACTCTCTCTCTTATTCAAAAATTCTTATTAAAACAATCATTACCTTTATCACTGATATCTTCATAACTGACTTCTTACTACTTATCACCCATAAGCTTAATGTTAAGGAAAAAAAATTCTATTTCTATATGCATCTGCTTTTTACCATAGCCAAAAAAGAAAACTCAGCATGATTTTACCACCTCCAGGGCTGAAAATGCCAATAAAAAATTACACATTCAATGAAGTCTTAGTAACACCATTAAAAGAAATTCAGGGAAGCTTTCAAAATTAAGCCATGATTGATATGTGAATGGGAAATATTAACCATGAATAGAGAGAGAGATTTTGGGAGATGTTAAGTGAATGTATAGGAGCCTTTGAACCAAGTGAGAGAGTAATTGTGGTAGGGGACTTGAATGCTAAAGTAGGAGAAACTTTTAGAGAGGGTGTGGTAGGTAAGTTTGGGGTGCCAGGTGTAAATGATAATGGGAGCCCTTTGATTGAACTTTGTATAGAAAGGGGTTTAGTTATAGGTAATACATATTTTAAGAAAAAGAGGATAAATAAGTATACACGATATGATGTAGGGCGAAATGACAGTAGTTTGTTGGATTATGTATTGGTAGATAAAAGACTGTTGAGTAGACTTCAGGATGTACATGTTTATAGAGGGGCCACAGATATATCAGATCACTTTCTAGTTGTAGCTACACTGAGAGTAAAAGGTAGATGGGATACAAGGAGAATAGAAGCATCAGGGAAGAGAGAGGTGAAGGTTTATAAACAAAAAAAAGGAGGCAGTTAGGGTAAGATATAAACAGCTATTGGAGGATAGATGGGCTAATGAGAGCATAGGCAATGGGGTCGAAGAGGTATGGGGTAGGTTTAAAAATGTAGTGTTAGAGTGTTCAGCAGAAGTTTGTGGTTACAGGAAAGTGGGTGCAGGAGGGAAGAGGAGCGATTGGTGGAATGATGATGTAAAGAGAGTAGTAAGGGAGAAAAAGTTAGCATATGAGAAGTTTTTACAAAGTAGAAGTGATGCAAGGAGGGAAGAGTATATGGAGAAAAGAGAGAAGTTAAGAGAGTGGTGTGAAGCAATGTAAAAAGAGAGCAAATGAGAGAGTGGGTGAGATGTTATCAACAAATTTTGTTGAAAATAAAGAAAAAGTTTTGGAGTGAGATTAACAAGTTAAAAAAGGGCCTAGAGAACAAATGGATTTGTCAGTTAAAAATAGGAGAGGAGAGTTATTAAATGGAGAGTTAGAGGTATTGGGAAGATGGAAGGAATATTTTGAGGAATTGTTAAATGTTGATGAAGATAGGGAAGCTGTGATTTCGTGTATAGGGCAAGGAGGAATAGCATCTTGTAGGAGTGAGGAAGAGCCAGTTGTGAGTGTGGGGAAGTTCGTGAGGCAGTAGGTAAAATGAAAGGGGGTAAGGCAGCCGGGATTGATGGGATAAAGATAGAAATGTTAAAAGCAGGTGGGGATATAGTTTTGGAGTGGTTGGTGCAATTATTTAATAAATGTATGGAAGAGGGTAAGGTACCTAGGGATTGGCAGAGAGCATGCATAGTTCCTTTGTATAAAAGGCAAAGGGGATAAAAGAGAGTGCAAAAATTATAGGGGGATAAGTCTGTTGAGTGTACCTGGTAAAGTGTATGGTAGAGTTATAATTGAAAGAATTAAGAGTAAGACGGAGAATAGGATAGCAGATGAACAAGGAGGCTTTAGGAAAGGTAGGGGGTGTGTGGACCAGGTGTTTACAGTGAAACATATAAGTGAACAGTATTTAGATAAGGCTAAAGAGGTCTTTGTGGCATTTATGGATTTGGAAAGGCGTATGACAGGGTGGATAGGGGGGCAATGTGGCAGATGTTGCAAGTGTATGGTGTAGGAGGTAGGTTACTGAAAGCAGTGAAGAGTTTTTTACGAGGATAGTGAGGCTCAAGTTAGAGTATGTAGGAAAGAAGGAAATTTTTTCCCAGTAAAAGTAGGCCTTAGACAAGGATGTGTGATGTCACCCTGGTTGTTTAATATATTTATAGATGGGGGTTGTAAGAGAAGTAAATGCGAGGGTCTTGGCAAGAGGCGTGGAGTTAAAAGATAAAGAATCACACACAAAGTGGGAGTTGTCACAGCTGCTCTTTGCTGATGACACTGTGCTCTTGGGAGATTCTGAGAGAAGTTGCAGAGATTGGTGGATGATTTTGGTAGGGTGTGCAAAAGAAGAAAATTAAAGGTGAATACAGGAAAGAGTAAGGTTATGAGGATAACAAAAAGATTAGGTGATGAAAGATTGAATATCAGATTGGAGGGAGAGAGTATGGAGGAGGTGAACGTATTCAGATATTTGGGAGTGGACGTGTCAGCGGATGGGTCTATGAAAGATGAGGTGAATCATAGAATTGATGAGGGAAAAAGAGTGAGTGGTGCACTTAGGAGTCTGTGGAGACAAAGAACTTTTGTCCTTGGAGGCAAAGAGGGGAATGTATGAGAGTATAGTTTTACCAACGCTCTTATATGGGTGTGAAGCGTGGGTGATGAATGTTGCAGCGAGGAGAAGGCTGGAGGCAGTGGAGATGTCATGTCTGAGGGCAATGTGTGGTGTGAATATAATGCAGAGAATTCGTAGTTTGGAAGTTAGGAGGAGGGCGGGATTACCAAAAAATGTTGTCCAGAGGGCTGAGGAAGGGTTGTTGAGGTGGTTCGGACTGTAGAGAGAATGGAGCGAAACAGAATGACTTCAAGAGTGTATCAGTCTGTAGTGGAAGGAAGGCGGGGGTAGGGGTCGGCCTAGGAAGGGTTGGAGGGAGGGGGTAAAGGAGGTTTTGTGTGCGAGGGGCTTGGACTTCCAGCAGGCATGCGTGAGCGTGTTTGATAGGAGTGAATGGAGACAAATGGTTTTTAATACTTGACGTGCTGTTGGAGTGTGAGCAAAGTAACATTTATGAAGGGATTCAGGGAAACCGGCAGGCCGGACTTGAGTCCTGGAGATGGGAAGTACAGTGCCTGCACTCTGAAGGAGGGGTGTTAATGTTGCAGTTTAAAAACTGTAGTGTAAAGCACCCTTCTGGCAAGACAGTGATGGAGTGAATGATGGTGAAAGTTTTTCTTTTTTGGGCCACCCTGCCTTGGTGGGAATCGGCCGGTGTGATAATAAAAAAAAATAAAAAAAAGAATAGAACATGCCTAGCATGGGCCAGTAAGCATACTGTATTGCTTCCTCTATTCTTATGTATCAAGTTATTTTTGAGACACACACTGAATATAGAATAGGAAGACGTGATATGATAAACACATGCAGGGAATACAAGAACAGATTATTACCGTTATTAAGTTATTCAATAACAGTAAGCAGTTTCAGCAAGAATAATTAGTTGTTGAAATAATTAAAATTTGCTTGGCCTAAATTCTTCTTACGTTTAAAGCTTCAAAATAAAATACAGATGAAGAAGGTATCGTTTAGTATCTTAGTTAAAAGAAATGAGCAGCAAATACAATTTAGAAAAAAAATTATACAATGAATGAAGCAAGCACGAGCAGCATACCAGGCAGACAAGCTTTGCTCCCATAGTAAAACTCGATCCCTTTCCTGCGCCCAATGAGACGCTTACTTGGGGAGGAGTGGTAGTGACGCCACACTCCCCCCTTAGCAAATGGGGGCACTTGTCCGTATGGAGTTCGGTCGGCCCATTTGTCACTTAGCTCATTAGCAGATGACGACAGTTGCTTGGAGAAGTCTGACACATTTTCATAGTCGTGTATCCTACGAGACTCTGAAATGTTTAATGTACAGTAATTAACAGACACAAATAAAAGGAATTAAAAAAAATATAATGAAAAAGAAAACCACGAAACAGGGCGAGTAAAAAAAAAGAAAAAAGGAAAACATTAAGTAGGAGAAATAATGCAACAGTGGACAGAATACTATTACAAGGATTGTGAGGCACACTATGTATTTCCCAATCAATCAAAAACCAATCACACAAGATCTAGTAGTGCATTGTATGCACTTGCATTATTCTATGGGAATTATGTCAGCTGACAATTGCTCATGATTTCTGTGAACAATGAAATGTTACACACACAAAAAAAAAAATTCATCTTGGAATCAAAATCAGGATTATTTAGAGGGGGTAAAAAAAAAAGTACATACTGTATATCTGTCCTCAACTTATAAATATATACAGTACGTAAATAACAAAAAAAGGCACAATACCATGACTGGAACGATACACAAATAACCCGCACATAGAAGAGAGGAGCTTACGACGACGTTTCGGTCTGACTTGAACATTTACAAAGTCACTTTGTAAATGGTCCAAGTCGTGTGACTGTGTAAATGGTCCAAGTTGGACTGAAACATCGTCGTAAGCTCCTCTCTTCTGTGTGGGTTATTTGTGTATACAGTAAGTCCCTTATGTACAATGTTAATGCACTTGTTTAAAATTTTAAATTGAGGTATGGAACTTTGAACTTATTTTCTCATTCAGAACTCTTCCTTTTCATTTACAGTTATTAAACCTTGTTTAATTAATGTGTACATGTTAATTAAACAGATTAGAACTACTAATAAATATACGTGTGTGGATGTATAGGGCAGGGCAGCAGCTGAGCTGTCTCCTAGTCTTATTCTACTTCTGTTCATTGCACTCTCTCTTGCATCATGTCTAGCACAATACTCTCTGCACACATTCGCCAATCCCTCGCTGTTGTAACCGAGTGTGTGCTGTTGGAGGATTTGGGCAAAAGATGTTGAGGGGATGACAACAGCTGGACTGCCTCCCTCTTGCAATTTCACCCTCCTATTCAAGCCCACCCTCTCTTGCATAGTATCTAATTTTTAAGATTCATTATGCAGTCTCAGCATTCCCCCTCTGTTGTGGTAAAAGCAGCAGGCACGGGAAGGTTGTGGTAACGACAATAACTGTGTGGGGACGGGTGCATGATGAGAGACGAGCTGCCATTATCACACACTTTGCTTACTGCTGCATCAGTAAACTGGCAGCAGCCACTACAGCCCAAAAGAACTACGTAACTTTTTAAACCACAGGCTTCAACCAATCCCTACGAAAAAATGTGAACTTAACACAAGTACATTAAAAAAACACAAAATACCAATCCAATGATAAAAAATTAACAGCAAAAATATTTATAAATTAGCTTTAATAGAAACTGTAAATGTTAAACCTATAGTTCTTCAACAATCATTATCATACAGATGTGAGCTCTATATATCAATAAAATGAGCATATACAAGGAATGAAAACATTCAGAAAAATAAAAAGAGAACACAAAATTTATCTAAAATAATTTCCTTGAATATCTGGAATGATCATATATGCAGAACAGCATTCACAAAGTAATAATTGGTTCTCAAGTGCCAATATCAATATCAGAACAACAGGCCGACACCTGCTCTATAGACGGTCAATGGCTACAAAACAAGACAATGGCAGAGACAAACCTTATTGAAATGTTTCATCTGTGGACAGGTTTCTTCAGTCACTGACTGAAGAAGCCTATCCACTGATGAAAAGTCTCGATAAAGTTCCTCTATGTATTTGTGTCTTTTTTCATTACTTGCTGGCTTCGTCCAATTTGTCTCCATCCAGTCAATGAATGTATAAGAAAACCAATTCTTTCCTTGTACTACATGTTCCTAGTGATGACAACCTCATTCTGGTTACAGTATTATATCATACTTGCATACTAGTTTAAGTCTATAAATATGAAAATACTTTACATGAAATATCATATAATAGCCAAACATTTTAAGTTTATATGAAACAAACTTGCACGAGTGTTATTTTTGCCAACTTACTATACTGAACATACTTATTTCTTACCTTGCAATTGTGATGCTGAATAAATGCCTCCCATTCCACTTACTGGGCGTACAGACCTTGGTGGAACTGGAGGACCTGGAGGATTTGATGGGCTGTTCCTACTTGGCTGTGATAAGACAGAATGGTACACACTAAATCCTGATGAAGATAAACTATGACTTAGACATCCATCAGCTGTACTGTGTCTTCGTCGGAGGACTTCAGTCCGAGGTATTGAAGAATGCTCCTGTCTTTTAGAGTAACCATAAACAGGGGACACAGAGCACTGATGCATCACAGCTGTGTGTGAACATGTAGTGGGAGGGCCTGAGAAAGTGTTTCCCGAATCAACTGTGTCAATACTGTCACTGGATGGCATCAAAGCCAAATTCAAAAATCCCCCCGACTTTGTGCGTAGATGACTCAAGCCTGGACCATGCTCTTGGTAATCTGATGCAAATGATTTGTTGCTTTTATTGTCCTCCTGACTAATATTCATTGAGGCAAAGCCAGGGTTTGAATGGCCCCCAGATTTTGTTCTTAAAGGGACCATAGCTTGGATTTCATCATTTTCTTCACATCTATCTTTGTTATCCCTACTTCGATTGATACGCTTTCTAGAACACAAATCATCACGAATGTGCTTCCTTTTAATTGAGTCTCTGATTCTACTAGCCAAACTTCTTGGAGGAATTATATCATTTAAATTATGCACACTCACTGACTCTGAGGACTTTCGTATGACTTTATCTTCATTAAGAATTTCTAGATTTCCGGCTGATCTTGAACGATTTAAAGGCGAATGCACAAGTGCAGTCACATACTCATCACTTGTATTAGTAGACATTATGCTAGACTTAAATAAATCTGAAAATGAAGAAACATTTTTCAGGTCTTTGGTATTATTAAAACTGGTTGCTGATCCTGGTCTCTCACAAGATGAGCATGAAGGAACAGCAATGCTTTTAGGTCTTTGTTTCGGTATTCCATTTGCTCTACCTCCATTCTTGAAATGTAACGAGTCAACCGACTTCTGTGGAATAATTCTGGTCTTCGGACTATCTGATGTAAACGCAGTTTCAAAACAACAGTTCTGGGGGAGCTCAAAACTATTTAATTCATTACTTTTAATAGCACCAGCAGATTCACAATTTGCTTCTTTAAAATCATTCTCTTTTCTTACTCTCCTTGCATAATCATTAGTTTTGACTGAGCGAACAGTTTCTGGTTGTCTCTGCATTGACGGTTCACTAGAAATTTTACTTTGCCGACTGAGTGACCTTCCATTCTCTTGATTATCAAGAAGAATTCCCAAAGCACTGCCTTCATGACTTCCTTCCAGCAGTGTGGGATACAGATTGTCTTCTTTAAAATCTGTATAATTTTTCAACCTTCTAAGCTTAAGACTCTGAAGGTTAGAGGCATTAAGAGTAGCTGTTGGACTTACCAACGGGGTTTGGAAACCACCACCCAGACTTCTACTTGACCCCTGCCGTCTGAATCCTTTATGTCCATCTTCCCATTTCTCTCCATTTGTATTATTTTCATTTTCTGTGTTTGGTGTAGAGGTCTTCTGCTGGCCAGAAATACTCATGTTGAGCATCAAATCTTCAACAGAATCACCTTCATTAAAACCTTCTGGCACATAGCTCCCATCATAGCTCCTGCCACTAGAGGACAGTGTACCAACGGAATTTGGAGAACGGCATGTTATGTCCAAGAATTCCACTCCAATGTAAATTCTAATGAAAGGTTCGTAGAGTCCGTATGGAATCAGTGGAACAACCTGCAAAGATGTAAGTATTAAAATAGGGCAACATAATGGAATATTTAAGAATTGTTTTGCTGTACAGTAGTCTCAGTATGTGTTTTAAGTTTATTTACATTAAGTATATTTTATTATACAATAATAAATAGCTACAAACCAGATTGGTGAAGAAGTCACGAACAATTTTGAAAACATCTTTCTCGACTCCAGGGTAATTAGGGATATTGCAACTTGTGTCTCCAATACTTGGCCCTAAAGAAAGAAATTAACAAAATACAATACAATATCTTACTTATTGATAATCTTTGCAAGAATATGATTTCTAAAGCCACCCCATGATAAACATAAGATGTGCATTAGTATTGTCACTATTGTGTCTGTCCATGTGAAATTATGCTACCTCCTCCAACCGACAAAAAAACACAGAAATACAACTTTTTTTTTACTGCATTTGACAACCATCTGAACTCATCACTGTAAAGAATAAGTCACCAACACCATTAACCCTTTCAGTGGCTGTCATGTAGAACTGTGTCATAAGTTCAGCTCAATGAAAAGCTGAGAGTGGTAAATTTTGGCCTAGATATGAGAGAGTGGATTTGTCGTTGAGTGTGCACAGCATAAAATAAATCCTGCCCCATGCAGTGAATGATGGGAAAACCAAAACCCTGACTGTGTGAATGGTTTTTATTGGCTATTATTATGTATCATTTGATAGAACGGAAGATGTACTACTGAAATACAGATTATTTTGTTTTTTTCAGGCAGGAACAGAAGTATCTTGAAACTGACCTGAAAGTAGCAGAAATATTTGATTTTTGCTGATTTTCCTGAAGATGGGCGAGGCTCTTCTACATTCCCCAGTCTGCTTTATGGGTTTCTAATAGGTCTGATTCAATTACTGGAGAACCGTAATTCCTGACCAATCACTCCAAGTTATATTTTATTCAAGAAATAGTAAATCATCTAATTCTATGTGATTATGAATTCAACATGGAAGGTAGTGTAATAATATAGAAGGGGTCTAGGAACATGAATAATGAACAGGGGAAATGTTTTAGTGCCAAGAATGTCTACATTGTTTATTTTGGACTGTTTCTAAATTGGCATTTTTTGTGTAAAACTGGCCAAATTACCAACTCCTGTGCACTTTACAGGGTACTTGTTATAGCTGAATGGGCAGTTTCTTGCACTCAATCAACAGAAGACATATTAGACAAACTTCTAAGAATTTGGTAGAATAGAGCATTAGAATTGGCTAAAAACAGGCCTCAAAGTGGGCAAAATTGCCTGTACATAAATTGCAGAGACTGCTAACTTTGCGCTTGTGTAATTCCACAAGTTTTCCATTAAATTTCATACTTATGGTGTCATTATCTTCAGAAAAAGATTCTCTACCATTTCAGAAGAAAAAAAAATATTAAAAAATGGACACAGAGAGCAACATCAATTTTGTGGTTTCTGGATAGTAAAAGGGTTAGGCAGATGCAACACTTTCCCCACATTTAGGAAAGTCGGGACATTTTGGCCCATCCTAGACTATTATCAAGTCAAACTGAGCATGAAAATTGAGAGAACTACAAGACAGGTTGGGAAGAGAGGGAAAGTAGTAGTCTGTAAGGAAACAAAAGTCTTCATTTCCCCTCACTTCTATCATCTTTCCTTACTTGCTGCTGCATTAAGCTCTAAGCATTGTTCCTCTTGTTTGTTCCTCCATGAGTGTCTTGAGAACAGTTAAGAGAATGCAGTTTGCTACTTTTTCATCCCCCCTCCCCTCGAGATGTAGTATATTTTCCATTTTATCAACTGATACTAAGAAATAGCCAATAAAACAAGAAAAACCACCTTAGAAAAATGACAAACTTGCTATTTTAAACCAAACACAAGATCACAGATTAGCTGTTCCAATCAATTCTTCAAAACTGTTGGCATTATATACCTAAAACTGATCTCATTAAAGATTTATTTATTTATTATCACACTGGCCGATTCCCACCAAGGCAGGGTGGCCCGAAAAAGAAAAACTTTCACCATCATTCACTCCATCACTGTCTTGCCAGAAGGGTGCCTTACACTACAGTTTTTAAACTGCAACATTAACACCCCTCCTTCAGAGTGCAGGCACTGTACTTCCCATCTCCAGGACTCAAGTCCGGCCTGCCGGTTTCCCTGAACCCCTTCATAAATGTTACTTTGCTCACACTCCAACAGCACGTCAAGTATTAAAAACCATTTGTCTCCATTCACTCCTATCAAACACGCTCACGCATGCCTGCTGGAAGTCCAAGCCCCTCGCACACAAAACCTCCTTTACCCCCTCCCTCCAACCTTTCCTAGGCCGACCCCTACCCTGCCTTCCTTCCACTACAGACTGATACACTCTTGAAGTCACTCTGTTTCGCTCCATTCTCTCTACATGTCCGAACCACCTCAACAACCCTTCCTCAGCCCTCTGGACAACAGTTTTGGTAATCCCGCACCTCCTCCTAACTTCCAGACTATGAATTCTCTGCATTATATTCACACCACACATTGCCCTCAGACATGACATCTCCACTGCCTCCAGCCTTCTCCTCGCTGCAACATTCATCACCCATGCTTCACACCCATATAAGAGCGTTGGTAAAACTATACTCTCATACATTCCCCTCTTTGCCTCCAAGGACAAAGTTCTTTGTCTCCACAGACTCCTAAGTGCACCACTCACCCTTTTCCCCTCATCAATTCTATGATTCACCTCATCTTTCATAGACCCATCCGCTGACACGTCCACTCCCAAATATCTGAATACATTTACCTCCTCCATACTCTCTCCCTCCAATCTGATATCCAATCTTTCATCACTTAATCTTTTTGTTATCCTCATAACCTTACTCTTTCCTGTATTCACTTTTAATTTTTTTCTTTTGCACACCCTACCAAATTCATCCACCAATCTCTGCAACTTTTCTTCAGAATCTCCCAAGAGCACAGTGTCATCAGCAAAGAGCAACTGTGACAACTCCCACTTTATGTGTGATTCTTTATCTTTTAACTCATTAAAGATATTAATAAATAAATACCCCTAAGGGTGTCATGTTCAGTTGTTCACTAGTAGAACCAAGCACATACAACACAACACCTCAGTGATATCTTCCAATGCCCTATTTATTTCCTATTTTTTTTTTATTTTACACAAAGAAAACTAGTAGTGTGAAACAGACTTACAGTGTGCCATGCATTTCATGGCAGTGAGGATCCAATTAGGAAGGTCATCAGGGTGACCCTCAGGGACTTGTACCACACCCCTTGACGTCACTTTAGTCATATTGTGATGGATCCATTCCCCTTCCACTAGTCTGGTGTCCAGTATGGAGGATGTGTCACCAAACAATAAACGTTCACACACAGAGTCTAGCCTGCCAAATTTGGATATGCTGTATCATTTTATTTCATTTCAGTCCATTATTGTGCATTTCTAAATGTGGACACTCTCATTTTAAACTTAAGGAGCACTATGGAGGCTAAGCTCAGGACCATTTTGATCAATGTGAATCTATCATCATCAGCAGTGCCACAGACAGGTGTAAGTAGCAGAATGCTTTCAGTAGTACAATAGCCAAGTATTAGTACTGGAATATGTTGGTCTACTGTTATAACTGAATTGTGATAAGCCCAAACTGGTGCTACAAAACTCACTTCCTACTTACTGCCCTAAAGAAAACAAAGGCACAATATCGTGACTGGAACAATACACAATTAACCCGCACGTAAGAAAAAACTTAGCAACAATGTTACAGTCCAACTTGGACCATTAACTAGTCACACTAACACATGAAGGTAAGGAAGCCATTATATATACGAGAGGAAGGCAGAGACAGGACAAAGAGGAGAAAGCAAGGAGGAAGTGGTGTGAAGTGAGGCAATGGCAGCAGCAGGTCTAAGGACAAGAAAAAGGAGCAATGCAGGAGAGGTAATGGCCCACGAAGGTGGGATCAAAAACACTAGGGGAAAAAAATATGAACGACAGAACACATCTAGGCAGAAGAAAGGACAAAGGAAATATAGGAGAGAAGAAGATAAAGATCAGGTCAAGTCTTGAATGTTATGAAATTTGGAGCATTCTCCACTTCCTCCTTGCTTTGTCCTGTCCTTGCCCTCCTCTCTATATATACTGGCTCCCTTACCTTCGTGTTTTAGCGTGACTAGTTAATGGTACAAGTCAGACCAAAACATCAAAGTTTCTTTTTAAGTGCTCCAATTTACAGCACTTCACCGTACAGCTTTCCACTAGTGCAGCGGTTTTCAATTACAGTGCCCCCCCCCCCTGTATCCATGGGGAATATGTTCCAAGACTTACCAGATAGTAGCAAACTCTATAAATATGCTTTTTGTTTATAAACATAATAGTGTAAATGATAAATTATGCACAATAAGTAGAGAATTATCAGTTTCACTGATGGAAAGCACTTCACAGCTTCTCTTAGGCTTTGAACAACTGCCATCATCACTACTTTTGTGCTTTGGGGCCATTTTTTATCAAAATTATGGCTCATTTTTGTGCCGCAATAAACTGTGGAAACTGAATCCACAATAAATATATTCACCCTCCCTATAAGCTAAGAACAAAAACATTTTAAGGTAAGTAATGTGTGTACTGTATGTGCCTAGCTATACTGTTCACTTAATATATGATAGTGTAAACATGTTACCAGGTTTTTATATGCATCTGTAAGTGGAAAGACTCACTTTACAGCAATTTTAGTTTTACAGTACCAGCCCAGAACCTAACCCGCTGTATAAGTGAGACCCTCCTGTATACTGTATTTACTGTGTCATTTGGGTACCTGTTAAGGTAGTTTAGTCTCCTATCTTCCCATATTAAAAGAAAAGCACAATGACATGACTAATTATGATGTTTTTGAAAAAACACAAAGTCAGTAAGAATCATTTAACAACTGGGAAATGGGAAGAAATGAGACTTGATCCAAGGAAGGGGAGTGAAGCTCCAATGCTTTGGATCAACGAATTGGTCTGGGCTCAAGCCATAGGGGTAGCAATACACTTAAAATTGTCTGGAAGTAGGCCTTTACTAGCAAAACAGCACTTCCCCTCCCCATCTTCAAAGAAGCATACTGCAATGCTTTAATATTTCAAGGCTTTGCTTCATAGCAGGACAGCAAGGGACTATGGATCATTTTGTCAGGTCCTTGAGTAACAGCAAGCAATAAATCAAAATAAAAGACAGGTCTTATAATTCATTAGCATTTTCATGTTAAGTGCTAAACCTGTAGAGGTTATTCAGCACCTAGGAATGGGAGGCAATCAGTTTCAATCCAAAGAGGGTAGTAGATTTATACACCCTCCAAGTCACCCTATTTCGTTCCATCCTCTCTTAATGTTCAAACCACCTCAACACCTTTCCTCAGCCCTCTGGATAATTCTTTTAGTACCCCTGTACCTCCTCCTAATCTCCAAGCTATGAATTCCCTGCATAATATTTACACCACACACTGCCCTCAGACACATCTCCACCGCTTCCAGCCCTCCTCCTCTGCATCATTCACCACCCATACTTCACACCAATATGTTGGTACTACTATACTTTCATACATTACCCTCTTTGCCTCTTTAGATGACATTCTATGTCTCCATAGATGCCCCAATGCACCACTGACCATTTTCCCTTTATCAAATCTGGTTTGCTTCGTGTTTCATATACCCACCTACCAACAAATCCACTCCCAAATATCTGTACACATTTACTTCCTACATACTTCCTCCTTCGAATACGATATCCAACATTTCATTACTAACTTGTCTGTTACCCTCATAACCTTGTTCTTTCCTATATTCACTTTTAACCCTTAAACTGTCCAAACGTAGATCTACATTTTTTATATGCTTTCTTATGGAGAAAATCAAGGTCAGAGCACTACGCATGAAAACGTAGATCTATGTTTGGACAAGTGAAGAGCTAATTTACTTCTTTTACATATCTCTCAAATTCGTCCACTAATCTTTGCAACTTTTCAAAATTTCCCACAAGAAGTGTCATCAACAAAATGCAACTGTGGCAACTCCCATTTTGTTTTAGATTCCAGATATTTTTAATCCCACACCTCTCCCCAACACAAGAGAATTCACTACTTTTACAGATATATCTATGCTGGTCACTCTCTTGAACACTATGTGCTTAATTGTCCACTTATTGAGGAATACAGAGACAGACAGTATAATAGCCTATGTGACATGTCAATATATCTTATTAATGAAAATAAGATACCAGATATACTAAGCAAATTTCCTAAATTTGCTTGTAACAGATAAGTGAACTATAGATATGTAGATATAAATCCATATGTATTCCTGTTAACCCTTTGGGGCCTAGTTCCTAGGCCTTTTGTGTATCCATATGCTCTCGCACTACCGTCCACAGGATGGATATGGGGTGCACAATAAACTAGCCACTTCGGTGGCAAAATCTAAAATCTAATCTATGCTGACATCACGCATTTCTCATCCCATCATTTATTCAATAGTGGTCTTCCCATGAATGTGCAACATCACAATTCAAATGACCCTCTGAACTGCAACATTCCCACCTCTTCCTCAAAGTGCAAGCAATGTATTTTCCACCACCAGGACTCAAGTTCAGCTAACCTGTTTCCCTGAGCCCCTAAATAAATGTTACCTGCTCACACTCCAACAGCCTATCAACCTTCTCATACCACTACACGTACTTACTCTTATCCACCACCAGGCAGTGGAAGATTACCATAAGGGCAATAAAAGACCAGTTGCCTTAAGGCCCCCCAGGTTTGACGGGGAAGGCTCAAAGGCAATGTTTTATATATAAAAAATTGATTTCATTGAACAAAAATGCTCATAATTTCAAATAGACCTGTGTAGTTTTGCTAAGTCTCATTCTGAGTAATTAAAAGCATGAACATGTATAAAGTATAAATATAATGCATCAACTATGTATTACCACAGGACCCCATCTGCTCTTATTCTACCACTGCTCCCAGGCAAAAAATGTTCACTCAACCTCATAGTTTCAGCACATACAATAAGCCCTCTATTTAAGGGATTTAGGAAATATGGGACAAAATTTGCTGGATTAGTCAGTTCAGTAATAATAGACAGTCCACTGGTTACAGAATTCTCTGTTATATAGTTACAATCACGGCAAAATAATCCCATCTCTGTCCACCACAATTGCCATTACTGGCCACCTGCCATTCCCCTCCCCAGTGCTGAAGTGAGTTTACTGTACCTTGCTCTACTCTTTTCTACCATGTCCTACAATTTCACTTTTATCACCTAAAAAACAAACAGCAGATGATAATCATTCTTCTTTTCCCCAGCACTTCATTACCTTTCACAAGAGTTAAAACGGTACTTTGTGGCTTTTTTGTACATTCATCTTTGTGCATTTATATATAGTACATATACATGGTGCCCCTGACACAGCCAAGTTGGAGAGAGAACTTTTTTGAGCAGAATATGGTAATCCCTTCATTGATTTTTTATGCATGTTACGTAAAAGTTTTGATAAAACATTTGTGATTTTTTTTGCCAGGCATGCTTGGCACTCAAGAGAAGCTTAGCGTGCATTAGTCAACAGTAACTGTAGATCAAAAGAAGCAAGTGTATGCAGGAAAAATCAAAGGCTGGACAATGTTCAACAGGAGTTCAATGTACAAGTAACCCATAAGAGCTGCAGCAATGTCTAAAGAATGAAATAGTTATCAGACTAAATAAAAAGAAAAGAATAAAGAATTGAGAGCTGGCTACATCTTAAATACATGACTGTACCACTAGCAAATGTTTATATAAAAGGTAACTGGAATACATATGAAAGAGTATAAATAGCTTTAGAATGGATGTTACTTGTGATGCAGAAATAGGACATGTTTGATGGAGAGCATGGCTCAGCTCATGTTAATGTATGGAGTAAAATATGCTTGCTTAGTTATATTGTAGGCATACAAGAAATCATTTTTTCAAATACTGTCAGTTAGGAATAAGGACAATGAGTAAATAAGTATAACAAAACAAATATGTAAAGGAAAGAGTAACAAGATGGTTTAAGCATACAGAAAAATGACCAGATACATCAAGAAGTACAAGAAAAATAATAACATATGAAAGCTTCACAAGTTCAGATGTAAAGGACCATTCATACCAGTTAGTGAAAGAATATATAAAGGAGTCACAACCAAACCTCACCACTGTCAGAAGCTCTGAAATTTAAAGTGCTGACCATGTCGGGAATTAAAAAAAAAATTAAATGGTAGAAATGCTTTCCTGCAGGTAATGACACCATAAATAGGAGAGTCAATGGAAACTTAAAGAATTACACAGGCACAAAGTTGGCAATTTGGGTACAATTTACATAGCAATGTCACCCACTGAGTTCTATTTGAAGAAAGTTCCATTGCATAGTTCAGCCAAATTCTTAGCCGTTTCACTAGAATGCCTTCTGTTCCATCGAGTGAGCACAAGAAAAAGCCCATTCAGCTATCATAACTACCCTGTAGTGTGTAAAGAATTCTAATTAGGCCAATTTTTCAAAAATTTAAAAAAATATAATTTAAGAACAGTCAAAAATCCTAGGTAGTAGGTTGGTAGACAGCAACCGCCCAGGGAGGTACTACCGTCCTGCCAAGTGAGTGTAACACGAAAGCCTGTAATTGTTTTACATGATGGTAGGATTGCTGGTGTCCTTTTTTCTGTCTCATGAACATGCAAAATTTCAGGTACATCTTGCTACTTCTACTTACACTCAGGTCACACTACACATACATGTACAAGCGTATATATACATACCCCTCTGGGTTTTCTTCGATTTTCTTTCTAGTTCTTGTTCTTGTTTATTTCCTCTTATCTCCATGGGGAAGTGGAACAGAATTCTTCCTCCGTAAGCCATGCGTGTTGTAAGAGGCGACTACAATGCCGGGAGCAAGGGGCTAGTAACCCCTTCTCCTGTATATATTACTAAATTTGAAAGGAGAAACATTGGTTTTTTCTTTTGGGCCACCCTGCCTCGGTGGGATACGGCCAGTGTGTTGAAAGAAAGAAAGAACAGTCAAAAATACATACAGCATTCCAGCCATTAAAGCAACATTTCCTCTGTTTATTAATCACATACCCAGGCCTTTCCTATATTACACTTGGCTTTCATTTTAAATTCACAAGAATTTCTAGGATAATAGAATACAACCATTCTATCAAATACTAAAAAACAGCCAATAAAACCATAAAAAACCATCCTAGAGAACACACCAATCACTATTTTCAACAAAGCACAATGACAGAGGTTTGTTCTTCCAATCATGAACAGCATGGAAAAGGATTTCTTTTTATACCATGTACACTCACCACAAAGACCTATTTTCTCATGTCTAAGCCAAAATTTACCACTCATGGCATATCTACAGGCACTGTGCTTTAAACGTGTATCTACACAAGCAACGCTTGCATCAATAATGAAGACCTACATAACAGAGTAGTTGGAATTGTTAATACTTTGCTAGAGCTGGAATTGGTATCTTAAATACTGACAGATGAATGGAACATCTGAGAAAACTCAATGAAAACTTATACTAAATTTATACTAAACTCTAACTATTTTAAATGCCATGTTGGGCTTGACTCACTCCACACAAGCTGCAATTCCAAATACCTATAAATTTTTTACATGGATGATAAATCACTGTAACCACCAGCTGATCCAAACGATCTTCTCTTAACCCTTTCAGGGTTTCGGCCGTACTAGTACGGCTTACGCGCAAGTTTTTTTTGACGTACTAGTACGCATAAATTCTAGCGCCGTAAAATCTCGCGGGAAAAGGCTGGTAGGCCTAGATGTGAGAGAATGGGTCTGTGTGGTGGGTGTGCGCAGTAGGAAAAAATCTGGGACCCAGTGGTGCATTGTGGGAACACCATCTTAGTAAACAATGTAAATCATCCCTCGCGGTAAGAAGTTCCTCACTCCTTGGCGAATTGGGACACTTTTGTTTCCCAGTGACAGTTCTAATACAGATGGAAGTGCCAGTGAAGATGAGTTTCAAGGTTTTGGTGAGGTTCTGACCGAATAGTGAGGAAAACCCAGACGACCCTCAGCCTTCCACCTCTGGTGCTGGGCCGTCTTGTTCATGTTCAGTTGTACCAGAATCAAAGAGGAAACTCCTATTTTCCCAAATCCAAGACTCAGATGTGAGCATTTGTGATGATTGTGATATTGAATATGAACTACAAGCTCTTGAAACTAGTTCCAGTAGTGATAGTGAAGTGCAATATTCCCCAGTGAAGCGTCAGTATATACAACAATATATGCGCTCTGGTAGTGTGCCATATGCTATTCCAAGGGGAAGGAGTACATCTCGGAGTACATCCCGTGGCTGTACAACAGGAACAGACAGTGAAAATGAAGATGATAGTTTTGCAATTGGGATGGAAAATGTGCATGGTGGTGGTATTGGTGGTGCCGACTGTGAGGCACCAGCAGCGGGCCATGCTGCCACCCACGCCGCTGCTGATCTACAACAAAGGCCACCATCCCCCACCCACCCACCACACCAGCCTCCACAACCACAACCACCTGTCATTGTCCAGTACCCACCAGCAGACCACACCTGGGATTGGCAGGAAGCTGTCAATTTTGTTCCAAATCCCCACCAGTTTGATGACAGCCAAAGTGGAATACGGCCATCCTGTACACATGGGAACAATGCCAGTGAACTGGAATGTTTCAAGTTATTCTTTGACGAACCCCTGATGGAAAGTATTGTCATGGAAAGCAACACATACTACGAGTACACCATGGCAAACACAATACTTTCACCAAAATCACGTCTACACCAGTGGAAGGAGACAACTGTGTCTGAGATCTTTTCTTTGCCAAAATAATGCTTATGCCACATGTGTATAAGCACAGTGTGAAATCATACTGGTCAACAGACTGCCTGATTGCAACCCCAGTGATATAATGCCAGTGAATCGATTTGTGCTAATGTTACGTACGCTTCACTTCTCAGACAAAACCAGGCCTGACAAACAACAGGTTATATAAGATTAGGCATGTGTTTGTGTATCTGAAAGAGAAATTCAATATGTATTTTTATCCCTTCAGGAAGCTTGTAAGTGACGAGTCTTTGATTCTGTTCAAAGGAAGACTCTCTTTCAAGCAGTACATACCAAGCAAGAGGAAACGCTTTGGTATAAAGTTGTTTGTGCTTTGTGATTGTTACAGTGGTCTGGTATTGGATATTATTGTGTACACTGGAAGTTATACATTGCAAAATACCAGGAAGTTATTGGGCATCTCTGGTGATGTGGTTTGAAGAATGATAGAACCATACCTTGGTAAGGGGCATATATTACATACAGATAACTGGTACACAAGCCCCTTATTCAGTGATTTTTAGCGAGTGAGCATGACAGATGTGTGGGGCACAGTGCGTGCAAATCGGAAACATACCCAGGTTTGACGCTGGCACTCGTAGAGGTGAGGTGCAGGCATTTGCTGCCAATGACATCATGGCATTTCAGTAGCATGACAAACGAGATGTCACACTATTGTCATCAGTTCACCCTAATGAAATGGCAGACACTGGCAGGCAGCATAGAGAGCAATGAACCCATTCTAAAACCTGCAGCTGTGATGGATTACACCCTCAATATGCATTCAGTGGACAAATGTGACATGCAGATTGGGTTTGCTGATTGTGTTCGCAAGAGTTATAAGTGGTACATAAAACTCTTTTTCCATCTTCTGGACATTTCCATGCTGAATGCTTATAATATGTATAAGATGAGGACCATAAACAAACCACCATACAGCGAATTCTGTTAGTCTGTCATCAGACAAATAGTATTCAAGTACCAAGGAACAGCACCTGCAATAGACCGCCCACCAAATTTTCAACAACTTCCTTCTCGTTTGAAGCATGGAGATCACTTCCTGGTAAAACTGCCTGCTACTGCTTTCAAGAAAAAGGCTCAGGTGTTACGTCTGTGCACATACAAGAAAACGCCCACAACAACGCAGAGACACTCGTTTTATGTGTGAGGAGTGTAAAACACCACTGTGCATGACACCATGTTTCAAAGACTTCCACAGGCTGCAGAACTTCTAGAAACATTCCCTGTGACTGTTTATGTGTATATAAAATATAGAAAAATAGTAATAAACAACATTTCATATTGTTTGTTTGTGTAAATATTTTTTGTAAACAAAACAATGAAAAAAAGTGTTTATGCCCTTATTGTGTAGTATTGAAAAAGAAATAACTTATAAAATACTGATCATACTGGTCTCACAGGCCATAAAAGTTACTTGGAAAAAGAAAAATTAAAAAATAATAGAAATTAGTACATAAGTAAATAAAAGAATACCGGGTGACGGCAGCTGGCGATGTTGCCAGATGGTGCCCCTTTTTCGTCAACTTCACGCCTCCATATCTCGGTAAGTATTGATGGTAAAAATTTTTTGTTTAGCCTATAATGTTCAGTAAAATAAATTATTTTTTCATAAGAAAAAATAATTTTTTTTTTTTTGAAATTTGGCCGACCCTGAGAACAAGTCTCTGACAGGGCCTGTCGACCCTGAAAGGGTTAATTAGTTAAAAAGGATTAAGAGTATTGAATGCTATAATAATGTTACCCTCCTACAAGTCAAGACAAAGATGTAATCAGCAACAGCTGAAGAAAAATAAGAATGGCATGCAGAAAAAAAATGTTAGAATAAAATGAGAGAAATTAAATGAATGGCAGGCAGAGTCCACTTAATGAAAATTAACTGTGATAAATGGTTAAGAAAACCAAATTGAAGAATGAAACTCATACAAGCATAATTAAGCATACCTATTCTGTGTTAGACTACGTGAACAGTTGTGAAATTATCTACTGGCCAGTGCTAGTAACTTTTTAATTTGCTGGTAAATTGTTAACTAATCAAAGGAGGAATTAAATGAAAAAAATTATTAGGGAAAACTATTTATTTTGTACAAATTCAACAAGGACTATATTATATTCATATGATTGCAAATATTGTACTTAAGCTGCCATTTTCATGCAATGAATCCTGGCCCTAACTTACTTGCCAAGGAGGACATGTTTCCAAACATCATTGATCTCGGCCTTGGACAGCTGCTTAGCTACTAGGTGGCATTCTTGCATACCACCACGGTCTTTCACCTCATTGGCTGCATTTTCGCCCAGATGAATTGATCCAAGTCTCTTGGGCCAGTTTTTGACTCTAATAGAACCATCTCGTTGTCTCTCGTTATTCAGATTTTCAGTCGCTTTGGTTGACTGAAAAACAAAGTAAAGATTATTCAGATACAGAACATAAGCTTAATTCAAATTTTTATTAATTTATCAATCTTTGCTGCACACATGGAAATTTACTTCAACAGTTAGCACATTCCTTGGAGCAAAATAAGCAAGAATAGGTTAACACTCCTTAAGAAACTTTTTAACATACCAGACATCTCCTAGGCAGGTATAGTGACCCAAAAATGTGAACACCATCACTCATTCAACAGGTGTCTTACGAAGCATGCAGACATCACAATTCAAATGACCCTCCAAACTGCAATATCACCATCCCTCCAACCACAATTCAAATCCAGCTAATCAGTTTCCTGAATCCCTTAAGAATGTTACCTTGTTCACACTCCAATAGAATGTCAAGCTTTAATACTAGTTTCCATTCACTCCAATCTAATACTGCCACACAAGCCTACTGGATGCTCTATTACCTGGCACTCCAAACCTCCTTACCCTTCATGTGAATGTATAAGCACTAAAACCCAGTTTTAATTAAAAAAAAAAGGATTATGGGTAGATAGCATTTTAATATCAAAATAACTTTTCATAGCATTCTCCCCATGAAAAAATACTTACGAAAAAAATGATGCACAAAAAAAATGTGAATAATAATTATCCTGTGGAAAATATCAGCAGGAAGATTCCAGGGATTACAGTATATACTTGCCCTGATAAAGATTCCAATTAAAAGAAAAATTTCCATTATATCACCTCATTTGCCTAATTCCTTTTAGGGATTTTGTCACTTAATATTCTGCATAGGCACTGTTCATAATTTGCAAACATTCACACCCATTTTTTTTTTTTTTGAAAGCCACAGTTAAACTGAAAATAGGTAGTAGGTTGGTAGACAGCAACTACCCAGGGAGGTACATGTACTACCATCCTACCAAGCGAGTGTAAAACGAAAGCCTGTAATTGTTTTACATGATGGTAGGATTGCTGGTGTCTTTTGTCTGTCTCATAAACATGCAAGATTTCAGGTACGTCTTGCTACTTCTGCTTACACTTAGGTCACACTACACATACATGTTTTGTTTTTTTCAACAAGTCGGTCGTCTCCCACCGAGGCAGGGTGACCCAAAAAAAGAAAGAAAATCCCCAAAAAGAAAATACTTTCATCATCATTCAACACTTTCACCACACTCACACATTATCACTGCTTTTGCAGAGGTGCTCAGAATACAACAGTTTAGAAGCATATACGTATAAAGATACACAACATATCCCTCCAAACTGCCAATATCCCAAACCCCTCCTTTAAAGTGCAGGCATTGTACTTCCCATTTCCAGGACTCAAGTCCGACTATATGAAAATAACCAGTTTCCCTGAATCCCTTCACTAAATATTACCCTGCTCACACTCCAACAGATCGTCAGGTCCCAAGTATCATTCGTCTCCATTCACTCCTATCTAACACGCTCATGCACGCTTGCTGGAAGTCAAAGACCCTCGCCCACAAAACCTCCTTTACCCCCTCTTTCCAACCCTTTCGAGGACGACCCCTACCCCTCTTTCCTTCCCCTATAGATTTATATGCTTTCCATGTCATTCTACTTGATCCATTCTCTCTAAATGACCAAACCACCTCAACAACCCCTCTTCTGCCCTCTGACTAATGCTTTTATTAACTCCACACCTTCTCCTAATTTTCACACTCCGAATTTTCTGCATAATATTTACACCACACATTGCCCTTAGACAGGACATCTCCACTGCCTCCAACCGTCTCCTCGCTGCTGCATTTCCCACCCAAGCTTCACATCCATATAAGAGTGTTGGTACTACTATACTTTCATACATTCCCTTCTTTGCCCCCATAGATAACGTTTTTGACTCCACATATACCTCAACGCACCACTCACCTTTTTTCCCTCATCAATTCTATGATTAACCTCATCCTTCATAAATCCATCCGCCGACACGTCAACTCCCAAGTATCTGAAAACATTCACTTCTTCCATACTCCTCCTCCCCAATCTGATATCCATTTTTTCTTTATCTAAATCATTTGATACCCTCATCACCTTACTCTTTTCTATGTTCACTTTCAACTTTTTACCTTTACACACATTCTCAAACTCATCCACTAACCTTTGCAATTTTTCTTTAGAATCTCCCATAAGCACAGTATCATCAGCAAAAAGTAACTGTGTCAATTCCCATTTTGAATTTGATTCCCCATAATTTAATCCCACCCCTCTCCCGAACACCCTAGCATTTACTTCCTTTACAACCCCATCTATAAATATATTAAACAACCATGGTGACATTACACATCCCTGTCTAAGACCTACTTTTACCGGGAAGTATTCTCCCTCTCTTCTACACACACCCTAACCTGAGCCTCACTATCCTCATAAAAGCTCTTTACAGCATTTAGTAACTTACCACCTATTCCATAAACTTGCAACATCTGCCACATTGCTCCTCTATCCACTCTATCAAATGCCTTTTCTAAATCCATAAATGCAATAAAAACTTCCCTACATTTATCTAAATACTGTTCACATATATGCTTCAATGTAAACACTTGATCTACACATCCCCTACCCACTCTGAAGCCTCCTTGCTCATCCGCAATTCTACATTCTGTCTTACCTCTAATTCTTTCAATTATAACTCTACCGTATACTTTTCCTGGTATACTCAGTAAACTTATTCCTCTATAATTTTTACAATCTCTTTTGTCCCCTTTCCCTTTATATAAAGGGACTATACATGCTCTCCGCCAATCCCTAGGTACCTTCCCCTCTTTCATACATTTATTAAACAAAAGTACCAACCACTCCAACACTATATATCCCCCTGCTTTTAACATTTCTGTCATGATCCCATCAGTTCCAGCTGCTTTACCCCCTTTCATTCTACGTAATGCCTCACGTCCTCCACCACACTTACATTCTGCTCTTCTTCACTCCTAAAAGATGGTATACCTCCCTGGCCAGTGCATGAAATTACCGCCTCCCTTTCTTCCTCAACATTTAAAAGTTCCTCAAAATATTCTCGCCATCTACCTAATACCTCCCTCTCCCCATCTACTAACTCCCCTACTCTGTTTTTAACGGACAAATCCATACTTTCCCTAGGCTTTCTTAACTTGTTTAACTCGCTCCAAAATTTTTTCTTATTTTCATTAAAATTTCTTGACAGTGCCTCTCCCACTCTTTCATCTGCTCTCCTTTTGCACTCTCTCACCACTCTCTTCACCTTTCTTTTACTCTCCATATACTCTGCTCTTCTTATAACACTTCTGCTTTGTAAAAACCTCTCGTAAGCTACCTTTTTCTCTTTTATCACACCCTTTACTTCATCATTCCACCAATCACTCCTCTTTCCTCCTGCCCCCACCCTCCTATAACCACAAACTTCTGCCCCACATTCTAATACTGCATTTTTAAAACTATTCCAACCCTCTTCAACCCCCCACTACTCATCTTTGCACTAGCCCACCTTTCTGCCAATAGTCGCTTATATCTCGCCCGAACTTCCTCCTCCCTTAGTTTATACACTTTCACCTCCCTCTTACTTGTTGCCACCTTCCTCTTTTCCCATCTACCTCTTACTCTAACTGTAGCTACAACTAAATAATGATCTGACATATCAGTTGCCCCTCTATAAACATGTACATCCTGGAGCCTACCCATCAACCTTTTATCCACCAATACATAATCTAACAAACTACTTTCATTACGTGCTACATCATACATTGTATATTTATTTATCCTCTTTTTCATAAAATATGTATTACTTATTACCAAATTTCTTTCTACACATAGCTCAATTAAAGGCTCCCCATTTACATTTACCCCTGGCACCCCAAATTTACCTACTACTCCCTCCATAACATTTTTACCCACTTTAGCATTGAAATCCCCAACCACCATTACTCTCACACTTGATTCAAAACTCCCCATGCATTCACTAAACATTTCCCAGAATCTCTCTCTCTCCTCTACACTCTTTTCTTCTCCAGGTGCATACACGCTTACTATAACCCACTTTTCACATCTAATCTTCATTTTACTCCACATAATCCTTGAATTTATGCATTTGTAGTCCCTCTTTTCCTGCCATAGCTTATCCTTCAACATTATTGCTACTACTCCTTTAGCTCTAACTCTATTTGAAACCCCTGACCTAATCCCATTTATTCCTCTCCATTGAAACTCTCCCACCCCCTTCAGCTTTGTTTCACTTAAAGCCAGGACATCCAGTTTCTTCTCATTCATAACATCCACAATCATCTCTTTCTTATCATTTGCACAACATCCATGCACATTCAGACTTCCCACTTTGACAATTTTCTTCTTATTCTTTTTAGTAATCTTTACAGGAAAAGGGGTTACTAGCCCATTGTTCCCGGCATTTTAGTTGACTTTTACAACACGCATGGCTTACGGAGGAAAGATTCTTATTCCACTTCCCCATGGATATAAAAGGAAAAGTAATAAGACCAAGAACTATTAAGATAAAATCAAAGAAAACTCAGATGAGTGTGTATAAATAAACATGTACATGTATGTGTAGTGTGACCTAAGTGTAAGTAAAAGTAGCAAGACGTACCTGTAATCATACATACATGTACAAGCATATATATACACACCCCTCTGGGTTTTCTTCTATTTTCTTTCTAGCTCTTGTTCTTGTTTATTTCCTCTTATCTCCATGGGGAAGTGGAACAGAATTGTTCCTCCGTAAGCCATGCGTGTTGTAAGAGGCGACTAAAATGCCGGAAGAAAGGGGTTAGTAACCCTTTCTCCTGAATAAATTACTAAATTTAAAAAGAGAAGCTTTCGTTTTTCTTTTTGGGCCACCCTGCCTTGGTGGGATACGGCCGGTTTGTTGAAAGAAGAAGTTAAACTGAAACTTGTGCTTTCAGAATTACACCACTTGGTTTAAAATTGCTGTCTCAGTGATAAAAGGATTTCAAGCCTTGCTGAAATTCTGTGCATTATAATTTTTTTTAACAACAGTCTGTATGTACAGTGCATCTGAAGTTATTATTCCTTCCAATCTAATCTATCTAAATCATTCACTACCCTCATCACCTTGCTCTTTCTTTTTTTTTTTTTTAAACAAGTCGGCCGTCTCCCACCGAGGCAAGGTGACCCAAAGAGAACGAAAATCCCCAAAAAGAAAATACTTTCATCATCATTCAACACTTTCACCTCACTCACACAATCACTGTTTTTGCAGAGGTGCCCGGAATACAACAGTTTAAAAGCATATACGTATAAAAATACACAATATATCTCTCCCAACTGCCAATATCCCAAACCCCTCCTTTAGAGTGCAGGCATTGTACTTCCCATTTCCAGGACTCAAGTCCAGTTATATAAAATAACCGGTTTCCCTGAATCCCTTCACTAAATATTACCCTGCTCACACTTCAACAGATCGTCAGGTCCCAAATACCATTTGTCTCCATTCATGCCTATCTAACACGCACACGCACGCTTGCTGGAAATCCAAACCCCTCGCCCACAACACCTCCTTTACCCCTTCCCTCCAACCTTTTCAAGGACGACCCCTACCCCGCCTTCTTTCCCCTACAGATTTATACGCTCTCCACGTCATTCTACTTTGATCCATTCTCTCTAAATGACCAAACCACCTCAACAAACCCTCTTCAGCCCTCTGACTAATACTTTTATTACTCCACACCTCCTAATTTCCACACTCCGAATTTTCTGCATAATTTTCACACCACACATTGCCCTTAGACAGGACATCACCGCCTCCTCGCTGCAGCATTTACAACCCAAGCTTCACACCCATATAAGAGTGCTGGTACTACTATACTTTCATACATTCCCTTCTTTGCCTCCATAGATAACATTTTTTGTCTCCACATATACCTCAATGCACCACTCACCTTTTTTCCTTCATCAATTCTATGATTAACCTCATCCTTCATAAATCCTTCCGCTGACACGTCAACTCCCAAATACATGTATCTGAAAACGTTCACTTCTTCCATACTCCTCCTCCCCAATTTGATATCCAATTTTTCTTTATCTAAATCATTTGATACTCTCATCACCTTACTCTTTTCTATGTTCACTTTCAACTTTCTACCTTTACACACATTCCCAAATTCGTCCACTAACCTTTGCAATTTTTCTTTAGAATCTCCCATAAGCACAGTATCATTAGCAAAAAGTAACCGTGTCACTTCCCATTTTGTATTTAATTCCCCATAATTTAATCCCACCCCTCTCCCAAACACCCTAGCATTTACTTCTTTTACAACCCCATCTATAAATATATTAAACAACCATGGTGACATTACACATCCCTGTCTAAGACCTACTTTTACTGGGAAGTAGTCTCCCTCTCTTCTACACACCCTAACCTGAGCCTCACTATCCTCATAAAAACTCTTTACAGCATTTAGTAACTTACCACCTATTCCATACACTTGCAACATCTGCCACATTGCTCCCCTATCCACTCTATCATATGCCTTTTCTAAATCCATAAATGCAATAAAAACTTCCCTACCTTTATCTAAATACTGCTCACATATATGCTTCAATGTAAACACTTGATCTACACATCCCCTACCCACCAACCTTTGCAGCTCTTCTTCAGTATCTCCCAAGACTCTTGATCTTTAATTCCACACCTCTCCTCAACACCCCTGCATTCACAACCCCATCTATAAATCTAAGGTCTACTCTTACTGGAAAATAATCTCTCTTCTACATACTTTAACCTGAGCCTCACCATCCTCATGAAAACTCTTAACTGCTTTCAGCAACTTACTACATATTCCATACACTTGCAACATTTGCCACATCATCGCCCTATCCACCCTACCATATGCCTTCTTTAAATCCATATAGTACATAAAACCTACACAGAGATGTCTGTATTCAGACAATTCAAGCTACTAACCTCTCTTACTGATCCATGAATCCTTCTCAGTATTGGAGAAGCTCCTTCGTCTTTGTCTTGCCTTGGGTTGGAGGTATTGCTATGTAAAGGTCCTAAAACTGGCCGGCCTGGTGTACGAGGTGTGCGTAATGCTTTCAGTGGTGACCTATTACTGAACCTGTGTTGGAAACAACTACCATTAACAAATTTCACCTTTAACACTGAATTGCACATTGACAAAATTATAATAAAAAATGAAGCGCTAAACCTACAAGGGCACTGACAGAAAAGTCTTCAATATCAATGATATGCCTAATCCTAACTTAATCTCTATCTGTACTCTCATTCAGGGTGACAAAGCAGGAAACAGTCACCATCATTAAATCAATAACCAACTTGCAAGAAGTGCAGATATCACGGTTCAAGTAAATCCTCCGGGCTGCAACGTGCCTACCCAACCTTCAAGAGTGCAGGCACTCTGTTTAAAGTGTAAGTAATTAATTGCTTAACATTTCTATAGATGACATTGCAGTATACCCATCAATGGCTATTTGAAGCTAAAGACATTTTATTTTGTGTAGTGGCACACACTTCCCCATCATGCAAGTAAATATGTAAACAGTTCTGAAATGATCTGCCTACTTTAAAAACCATTTATGATTTTTTTTTTCCAGATTACCATAATTATTAGTTTACAACAAACTTTACAAAAATGCTGATTCTGACTAGCAAGACATTCCATGTTTTGCTGAAAATGCCCTACCCATTTTCCAGCAAGGCAAAATGACCCAAGGAAAATCATTCACCATTACTCATTCTTTACATGTCTCTCCAGGTCACTAACTTACTTGTAAAGTTCTCTATTGTCCTTGAAGTCCTCAGGCTTCGTTGTATTCCCTCGAACATCTTCAATTAAACCAGCTTTTAAGAATTTCCTGAAATTGATCAAAATATACTTCTACTACTCTCAGTAGTAATGCAATGAAAATGGCACAAAAAATATTTTTACAATCTAAAATTTATAAGATAAAATATTTTTAGTAATCAGGAAATTGAAAATATAAAGGCTCCATTCTAGAAAATGAAAGTAACACAGAAAATACATCCTCAGATGTACCTTAAGGGAGCGCTGAGGTTCACGCGCACGGAGCAAAAAAAAATTCAAAAAAATATGAAAATGGAGTTATTGTTACCAAAAAATAGCTGAACTTTCTGGCTACACTCTGGTATAATTATTATCCTTGTACGATATTTCTAAAAGGAATTACAGCATTTATAACAGGCATGGTGACAGTGCTGATGCGTCATATTGCATAAGAAGCGCTGACTCGAATAAGTTTAGGTAAGATTTAGGTGGTATTTTATAACTATTTGAAAAGGGTGGCAGAAGTGAAACTTTTTGAAATCTTGTGAAATGGAGTTCCAGATTTCTGGAGCCCTTTATTTAATGAAGTTCCTAGATACGTTGAGTCAAACATGTGGTTTATTGATGAGATACGTACTTATTTCTTGTACTGTGTGCGTGTTCTGATCCAACTCTCCAAAAAGAGTTGTGGTGGCTTGAAGTTCAGACTAAGTGTCCAGTATATATAAAATTCAAAGTAGCAGGTGTGGATGTGTTGTATGAGTAAATTATGATGAATGACTAGTAGGGGTGTGTGTTGTCTAGAATCTAATTGGGTGATCATTTTAACAGCTAATTTCTGCAAGTAACTATGATTTTAGGCAATTTACTGTAGCAGATCCCCATAGCACAGATACTTTAAGTGAGATAGGGATAGATTAGAAACTAGTACAGACTAATGAATGAGTAAAGCAACCTATAAAGCACAGTATAATTAATAAAGCTGTTGAAAGGCACTGGAACTGAGCTGTGATTGAAAAAGGATGTAGGAAAGTACTGCTTTGAAAAATAGAATTGTAAATGAGTGGAATTATCTGCCAAGTAGTAACTGAACCTAGCCCACCCCTCTCCCCAGGTCATTTGAAAAATAGGCTGACCAATACATGAATGACAAGGGTTGGGTTTGGAGTCTTGCTTAGCATGAGCCAGGCCTACTACAATGCCAACCACCATCCATTTGTGAAGAATAAATTTCATTTCCTGGTGCATAACCTTTTCAAACTTCCAATATGAACACCTTTATTGATAGATGCCAATAAAAAAAAAATCACCTGACTGCCATATCAAAAGTATTTAACTAACTTGCCAATACCTGTCACCACGTCAATAGGCTTTAACAAACTTTGTTACACAGCTGCCAAATGTACACAGCTACTGAGGCAGCAAACATGCTAGGTGCACCACATTCACGTGTCACAACAGAATATTTTCACCACTGTTAGGTTGGCAATAGGAATGAATATGTCTGCACTGCAGAAGTCTATATAAACCAAAGGAAAAGGATGTCTAGGCCTCACCCATCATGTGACAAACTGGATGAAAACGGACAAATGCAATACCATGTGATCTTTTATCATCAAGGTTTTATCCATGGAGTGGGGCTTTTACTTTGTCAGTAAAAGACTGCATTATACTACAATTGTGTATTTCCATCATGTTAGTATTTCATACCATCTTTCTCCAACACAACAAACCAGTCACATGGGTAGGGTGTCAGTATACAGCTTTTAAAAAAACATTTACTACCTGGCTGCTGTCTATAAACACAAAAGTAGGTTTGAAGTTCTACCACGCTAAAACTGCCCCTCGTAAAATATAATACTGAATATACAATATGTATATTCAAAATTGCTGTCACATAAAACATCTTTTTCCACATACCTAAGAAGTTTAGTTGTCTGTTCTCGTGAAACACTGTTTGCAAAATTAGGGTCACTCTGTAGATGGTTGAGAAGCCAGTCAATGGCTTCTGTAGCTGTGAAGCATCTCTCATATTGCCGTAGCCCCCTCCAATGCCGCGAGACTGGCATTCCATTGTAAAAGGACCGTACTGCATCATTCCACTGAAAAGTCAAAAATAGGTTATATATGCAAGAATTTAAGTTTGAATTGCAATCTATGCAAAATAATACACAACCATAATAGCCTTAAAAAACTGAATGATTAAGGCTGTAAGGGATATAAAATGAACTGGGTTATCCACCCGGGAAACCAAGTCAGTCCGTGCATCATCAAGGCTTATTTCCATTAGGGTCCTTCAATCTTGTCCCCCATAATGCAACCCACATCAGTCTGCTAACACCCAGGTACCTACTTGCTTGTCTGCTAGGCGAGTGTGGACAGTAGGTGTAAGGAAACATGCCCAAAGTTTCCACCTGGCCGGGAATTGAACCACAAACACTTAGTGCGTGAGGTGAGAGCTTTGCCTACCAGGCCACGGGACACCCAAAAATGTTTGATTATTTTCCATTCACTTATTTGTGGTTAAAAATGTTTTTTAAAGTTTATGTAACCTAAACTAACCCAACCTAACCAGACTGTCATATATGGTAGGATAAATAGCTTTCAGCAAGCGTGCACAAGCGTGTTAGATAGGAGTGAATAGAGACAAATGGTTTTTGGGACCTGACAAGCTGTTGGAGTGTGAGCAGGGTAATATTTTGTGAAGGGATTTAGGGAAACCGGTTAGCCAGACTTGGGTCCTGGAAATGGGAAGTACATACATACAATGCCTGCACTTTAAAAGAGGGGTTGGGGATATTGGCAGTTTGGAGGGACTTCTAAACTGTCGTATCTGAGCGCCTCTGCAGTGATAGTGATTATGTACGAGTGAGGTGAAAGTGTTGAATGATGATTAAAGTATTTTCTTTATTTTGGGGGATTTTTTTTTCTTTCTTTTTAGGTCATCCTGCCTCGGTGGGAAACGGCTTTAACAAACTACTGTTAGGTTACCTAGCTGCCAGGCAAATACACTTCCACAGTTTTTACAACTTTATACAAGAGCATAAAACTAACTACCTCTGTTGCTTATGACAGTAGAATTATTGACTTTATAACAGTGTTCTGCAGGTTTTAGGACTTGCCTGCCATGGGACTGAGCCGCCCCCCCCCCTCATTCTGCAACTTAGTATACTGCAAAGTAGACTGTAGACAACAATCATGAAGGAGATATAATATGTATTATAGTGGTCACACAAGTGTGAAACTAAAACCTGATAAATATTCTGTACTCTGACAGAACTTTTATTTTTGAATATCAAAAATAAAAGACAGGTAATCAGAGTAGTCTATACACTTTCCTTTTTTAATATTTTTAATAATCATGGGGACACGCTAAACCATAAGGGTCATACAATACCTATGGAATAGGTGGTTATTAGGTTTTATTGAAAGGAAATGTAGCTCCAAGGACCCCAATGGAAAGTCACTGACTTTTTTTTGGGCTATCCTAGGTAACCTACACATGCTGCTATGTATGACAATTTATGTAAATGTATATGTGTACCTGTACCAGAATAAACTCACTCGAGGAAACAGCCACAAGTGTCTTCTTCAGGACTGAAGAAACTCGTTTCCTCTAATAAATGTCCTGAACTGTACAAGTGTTTCTCCACATCTTGTCAGTATCACTATATCCTTTCTCAGTGTATACCTACTGAGAGTTTACCTAGGCCTTAATAACAATCATGTAGTCGGTAGGCTTTAAACCTGGCTTTGCTAGTGGGTCAAGACCCCAATGGACTTTTTTTAGTTAGGAGGGTTATCTTAGATATCTCTTACACATATACTGTTATACATGATAATTTGCATAACTGTATTTACGCATAACTGAATAAACCAAACTTAATTAGGGTTTTAGAAAGACCTGCCATAATTACCATAAGAACATTATTATTATTATTATATAAAAAAGAAGCGCTAAGCCACAAGGACTATACAGCTACCATAAGAACAGTTATTGCCTTATTAATCTTAAGTTAATTTTAAGTTTGCCCGAAATGCTCTGCATACGAAGGGGCTTTTGGCATGTACACCCAAATATTATATTCCTTTGTACAACCATGCATGTCAAAATAAAAATTATTATTATAGTAAGGGCCAATAAGTTTGCTCGTATTTTCCTCCTTTCTTACGTTGTAAAGTTTCTTACTCACCAGTTTAGTGGCTCGGTACGGCCCTGAGATACACTGCTTCACACTCATGTCCGACTCGAGGGCGGAAATCCGAGCACACTTGGGAAAATGTCAGTAAAAGTGAGCATCTCCCCCGCCACTACTGCTGACACTTGTCTTCTTCACTGCATTCAAAACAACGGCACCTGGACGCTGATTGGCTGACAGCGCCTCACTGCCGCGCCTCACTGCCGCACCTCGCTGCCGCGCCTCACTCAACTTTCTCTTTATTTTCCCCAATGGAAATAAGTCACTCTGTCTGACTTTTTTGGGTTATCCTAGGTTCTCTACTCATATGCTGCTATGTATGATAATTCTATGTTACTGTATTTGTGTATACCTGAATAAACTTATTTATTTACAGACCCATTTACTTGCCTCTTTCACTCAGACTACAATCATTTTTTATGTGGTATTTTGTACTGCGGTCAAGTTTACGTGAGAAAAATAAAGGGGGTATATAATACAGTTATGGGGATATATGGTACCTTGAGTGGTAGACAGATTTTATTTTATTTTTAGTCTCCTGCGTTTTCGTTTATATTATTATATTTATGGTAAACCTAAAAACCGACAAATAGATACATAAGACATGTACATCACTTGGTATATTTTACTGTAGAAGTTTTGCCAACTAAGTGGTTTTTTTATCAATTCGAAAAAAAATAGAATAAATAATGGAGAGAGTGAAAGACGTAGATTGTGAATTATTATAATCAAACGATGTATAGCCCTTGTGGCTTAGCGCTTCTTTTTGATTAAAATAATAGTAATTACTGCTCTTTTCTGTATTTTTTGTACCTCTGTATGTGTGCACAAATTTTTAAATAAATAAATTATAATCAAAAAGAAGCGCTAAACCACAAGGGCTATGCAGCGCTGCTGTGGATTGTGAAGCCAATAGTTAGCGAAATGTCTCTATAATAAAGATGCGCATGCCTTGTATTATGTGCCTTATTCATCTTTTTGGCTTTGAACTTGAAAACGCCTCATCCAAAATGGCTTCATATTTTCAACTTTGATCTACTGTAACAAGGGATAGGTTCCTGCAGTCATTCTGGGTTTAGCGCTCCCCCATGATTATAATAATAATCCTGCAGTCATTAGCATGTGCAGAGGCCCTCTACTCAATTTTATATTGGGTAAAAGGACACATGTGCAACTAATGCAATATTTTTATTGTGGCAAATCCCTCAAGGGAGGTTCCTTGATGCTGGTGAGGGGCTCTTGATCTAGGGAATTGGATCTGTGCTCCAGTTCCCTGAATTGAGCCTAAATACCTTCCATCCCTCCCCCACATGCACTGTATAGTTCTACGGGTTTAGCGCTCCCCCATGATTATTATAATTATTGTGACAACGTTTCGCTCTCCAGGAACTTTGTCAGGCTTTCAATTTTATATAGATAGTGACAATACCAGGGACCCAGTCCCCAATGGAAATGTCACTTTAGTCTGACTTTTTTGGGGCTATCCTAGGGGTAATTTACACATTGTTAAACTATGTATGATAATTGTACTTGTGCATACCTGGCTCTGGTGGCCTGGTGGCTAACGCTCTCACTTCACACGGCGAGGGTCTGGGTTCGATTCCCAGCCAGAGTAGAAACATTGGACGTGTTTCTTTCCACCTGTTGTCTATGTTCCCCATCAGTAAAATGGGTACCTGGGTGTTAGTCGACTGGTGTGGGTCGCATCCTGGGACACTGACCTAATTTGCCCGAAATGCGGAGCATAACAAGGGACTTTCTATATAGTAGTATGTCATTGTTGTCAGCTAGGACTGTATACCTTGTACATGTACTTGTAGTAAATAAAGATATTATATTATTATTATTATAAATAAACTTACTTATTTACTTACAGGGAGGGGCTTTAGACCTTATAATTTCCTTCAGTTATTAAGATTAACTCCCCCATCCCCTCCCCCCCAAAAATGTTATTCAAGTTTTTGGTCTTAGCCTCCACCTATACCAGATATGGGACAATACATCCAAGAGATAAACTGCAGTGTTCCTCCATGTAAGAGAAAAGATAGAGGTGCATTCGATTTTTAACCCAGGGTAGGGTTAGCCACCTGCACCCAGGATAACTCATTTAGGTGTCCCATAGCTCAATCACTAGCATACTCAGCTCACACACTGAGGTTCAGGGATCAATCCCCCAGTATGGGCCAGAAAACATTAGAACGTGTTTCCATAAGACACCTCCTGTTCCAATTTCAGTTTGCCATATTCTATTGGACTGTCCTGTCTTTCAATGAGAATGCAAAATTTACCTCTGACCTTGTTACCACTCTAACACTCTTACTTTACCTTCCCTCCTCGCTGATGGCCCCACCTTTGACACAGACTCCCTCTTTGACTTTTTGACAGCAACTGATTTATTACACAAACTCGGATAATACTTCCTTTAGCACTCCTCACAGCCTTTTATATCTCTACCTCTTGTTATCCCCTCCACCCTTGCTACTGTAAAATCCAGCAACACCCACTACCCTGCAGCATTGTAAGACACTGGCAGGTTTAGCGCTCAGTTTTGATTATGATAATAATCTCTTGTTCCTTTTCACCCATCAGTAAAATGGGTACTTGGGTGTTAGTGGACTGGTATGGGTCACATTCTGGGGATATAATTGACCTAATTTGCCCAAAATGTAGTATGTCACTGATGTCAGCTAGGCCTGTACAAGCCAAGTGGTTTAACAATCTAGCCATCCTTGTGCTTCTCACTGATAATGAAAGATCATGCATCTAAAGAAAATTCTTTTTCCACTATCCAAGGATGGATTGTCTAAATTTAATAAAAATCACCCCATACCTTGGGGTGCCACTGACTGTCATTATACTTATGGAGTGTGGCAGAATTGTCCTGTCTCTGTGCGTGTGTGTATGCACCAGCAAGAGTTAAAATTAAGGATTTAGTTTTTTAGATCATTGCTGGCCTTAATCTTTGTGGGAGGGGACTGGAATTGTGTTGTTTGAGAGGAGGATGTCACATTATTATCCAGTTTTGAGCGAGTTGTTGGGGTATTTGCACTTGAAGGTCGTGTATTTTATGTCAGTCACCTTACACCTGCTGTACCTGTTAACCCAGCATTAAGTATCTGGGTGTTAGCTGACTAGTGTGGGTTGCATTTGGGAAGACAAGAGTAAGGGACCCCAATGGAAATCAGACACAGTCCTCGATGATGCACTGACTTTCTTGGGTTATCCTGGGTACCTAACCCTCCGAGTTAAAAATCCAAACAAATCTTAGAAGTTTATGGCAGGGTTGTCCATTGTCACAGATGCTCTTTGTGTGTGTACCCCTCAAGGAAGGTTCCTTGATGTTGGTGAGGGGCTCTTGATTTAGGGAATTGGATCTGTGCTCCAGTTCCCCGAATTAAGCCTGAATGCCTTCCACATCCCCCCCCCAGGCGCTGTATAATCCTCCGGGTTTAGCGCTTCCCCCTTGATTATAATAATAATAATAATCTTTGTGTGTGTGTGCAGGACCCACTCAATAGGCTGGTGAGGGCCAGTTTCTGGTGAGGTGATTAGAGCAGGAAGGAGTTTTTCCAGCAATTTTATAGTATGTATATACTACATTATTGGTGAATGAACATAAGAGACCTGAAGCTCTTAAATGAGTGGTAGGGATGGTTGGGAAGGCATCAAGGATCATTGTGAATGTTGATCAATCTAAAATCTTGGGTCTTGGAGTAGGTTAATTGTAGAGACTGGGGTAGCATGATCATCACACAGGTGGAGGGGTCTTTAAAGATTTGTGGGATTCTGTACATAAGTGACAGAGAGGTGGGCAAGTATAGTAAATTCTGAGGGTGTAGTGTAACATATTTAATAGCTTATTAAGAGTTCGACATTTTCACTTAATTTTACAAAGGGCTATTATTGTGAATACCGTTCTGTATAATTAGGCTTAGGTTGATAATGTTTACCCTTTAACTAGTGTTTATGATGTGTAGGATCCAAGGTTGGATTTTCCAGTTTTTGTGGTCTAACTGTGCATGGTTGAAAAGGTATATTTCTTACACATGTAGTGTGGATGACAAGAAACAGATGATTGCTGATGTTATGAATGAAAAGAAGTTGGATGTCCTGGCCCTAAGCGAAACAAAGCTGAAGGGGGTAGGGGAGTTTCGATGGGGGGAAATAAAAGTGATGATTTTTTTTTTTTTTTGTCGGTAAGAAGTGGTTTGGGCTTATTTGGTCTACAAAAGCTTGTGTTGTGTATTAATGCAAAGAAAGTAGTGTTGCATGCTGGGCCCTTCAAGGATGGGTGTCTGGACTGAGTGTATGGTGTATTAAACAACACTTTCAGGAGAATAGATCTGAGAGACAGTTTGCAGTTGTTGAGGGTGATGTCAGTGGCAAAGCCAGGAGGGGTTAAGATTTGGGTTTTGTATGACGTTTTGACAGGGATAAGTGCACCAGTGGTGTTATTATGCCTTTAATATGACTGAGGGGTGCATCCCTCTGAGGGAATGTGAAGTCATGTGCAAGTTTTTGCATGGCATTTTTCTGAATAGAGCATTGTTGTATTGGAAGATTGTTGTTGAAGGAGCCTGTGGGGAAGTTGACACTGCATTTCATACAGTATACTTCTGTGAGTGTTATGAAAGGTTGAGACATGGCTGGCTAGTGTTAGTTTTAATGACTGGAAGCAGGAAGGTGTCAGTATCCCACAATGTGGGCGTTTCGAGAGACGACGGTTGATTTGGGTGTCAGGCGTTGTATCCTGTTGGCAAAATTTTTTAGGATGATGAGTAGGACAAAATCTTTGTATGGTAGATCATCTGGGGAGAGTTTCCTGATGGAGTATTTGGGAATTAGTGTTGTGGATTGTTGGCATTACAACCAAGGTTCCGGTTAATTACTGACTCATTCTTTCAATGTCGAGATAATTGTATTTATTATTTTCTTAAGGATGAATTTTTTTTTTTTTTTACCAATAAAGATACCAAGTGTCAGACATAGAAACACCTTGGGATCTTGATACAGGCAATTCTACACTTGCCTAACCCATAGGCATGACCTATAGATTGGTCCAAGGTGACACCACCTACAACTGCTTCATTTCACCTGTCTGCAGTATACAAGTCCCTTCTTCATACACATTCTGTATTCTTATCAAGATTGGACTGATTACCTCAAACTCCTGATCTTCACAATTCTTCTTTGTACTGGACTGATGAAGCCAGTGACAAAATGTTTCCTCAGTAAAGATACTCAAGTGTTGCACATGTGTCTGATTTATCATTCAATGTTCCACTGCTATTAGTAATGCTATCAATGTGATAAAGGTATATGAATTGATTCTAATTATGTATGCAGAATTAAGTGTTGCTGGCCTGATTGAGCTTAATACAGCTGCCATACCTTAAATGTAAAGGAACTATTGCATAACAACTGAGATCACCTTTAGTGTAGATATAATCAAAAGTGTAATTTTGAAAAAAAAAAAATTAATCTGAGAATTGAAAACCCACATTAAAGGATTTCAATGAAAATTCAAAATGAATATACTTCAACTGTTGTATTTTGCTTTTTAACAACCATAAAGATTCCTGTAAATTACATGAAATCCATTACAGATCCATCTTCCCATGTGCATAAACATAGCTATCTGCATGTCATTAGTCATAGTTAAAAACAAAAGATAAATTTTATAGCTTTAAAAATTAATCTGGATTTATGTAGTACCAGAGAGAATTTGTACAAAGATTGAAAGTATACAAAAATAGTCAAATAAAATTTAATGCCAGTATGAGAATAAGGTCAAATTTAAAAGATGAATGTGGGTTAGAGAAATAACATATTAATTAACAGAAGTGTACATATAAGCACAGGTATAAGACGACAGAAGAAAATAATCCAGTGCTGAAAATAATTTTGAAAATACATATTGGAGAAAACCATCAAAAAGTATATTACAGCACATTCAAATCTTCCATTAACATTAAGGCTATGATGAATACACAGTATCAGTCAATTTTGTTCACATTTATATTAGATGAGCTATAATAATACGGGGGCCCGTTTTACAGTGCTCCACTTTATGGCCTTTGGCTAATGAAGCGGTTTTCAATTATACTCATTCTTCATTTATTCATCAGGGACTTCTAAACTGTCGTATCTGAGCGCCTCTGCAAAGACAGCCATTATGTATGAGTGACGGTGAAATTGTTGAATGATGAAAGTTTTTTTTCTTTCTGTTTGGGTTTTTCTTTCTTTTTGGGTCACCGTGTCTCGGTGGGAAACAGCCAATGTGTAAAAAAAAAAAATAACTTACAATAAATATATTCATTACTCATTATAAGCTAAGGATGAAAATATTCTCAACATCCTTTCCATTCTGTTAATGTCCTTACTTCAACACCTCCTTTGTGCCATCTCTATCACCCCTGCTGTGTTTTACTGCATGAATCTTACAGGTTTCACACTTCCCACAAATATATAATAATAATAATGATAAGCTTCTCTACTGTCATATAAAGTTTAGAATAATTTATCCTGCAAGTTCAATTTAATAAGCAATTTTTTCTTTCACAAGCTGTTATTAAATTGCAGTCTTCCCATATTACAGTATTTTATCTCAAGCTAAGACACTATTTTATTTCACAAGTCATGCCATATAGTATTTCTCTTTAATTAACTGATATACTTAGATAACAAACAAAGGCAAAATACTGGACCAAAACGTCGTCGTAAGCTCCTCTCTTCTATGTGCGGGTTATTTGTGTACTGATATACTTAGATTTGCCAAATCTCATTTGACTCCTCCCATACCATGTTTTACTATTCATTTAAATATTTTTTATTCATAATTATGCTCCACATTTCAGATGTCTTACCTTTCAACTGTCCATTTGATTCCTTATCCAAGTTTTCTTATTAAACTTTGATATCCTATAATACTATAAATGTACTGTAATATACTGTAGTTTGATACATGGGTTTAAAAAATTAACATCTTACAGAAAATCTAGGATAAATATTTACTTAAATTAGCTTCATTTGAATGTGATACACTACAGATAGCCAAGTTTATGTTAGTAAAGAAGATAACACTGTAGGTATATATGAATAATGTAATTCCATCAATTCATTATAAAAATAGTCTCAGGAACCACCATATATTAACAATGCATATTTCCATGATTTATCCCAGTTGGTTTATATCACTAGATATCAGAAAGCAGCAATGAATGACAAAATGGGCCTAAATAATAAATAATAATCACTCAGGACTTCCAATAAATGTCAAGTGAAATCAGTGTCTTGTATCACAAGCAAAATATTTGATATAATAATTAAGGTACATATTACATTTCTTAAATATGCTCTACTAAGTTCCATTCTGTCCTGCACTGGAGCTTCCCTAATATTATCTTGGAGTTTTACATTTATCATAGTACTTAATTAAAAACCAAAATTAACATTACAGTTCATGAAAACACATTTTCCTCAAAAACCTCTTTAAGTACTATCACATGTACAATCAACTATAGACAAAAACAGTATAACAAATTTTTATCTGCATCTTAGTATGATATACAAATATATACATACATAATACTATATAGAGGCAGGCAATTCACCAATTTCAATCCAACATTCAGTTCACGAGAGACTGCAGTTGTATATTTTGACATGTTATAGAACATCATAGCCCATGTAAGTGCAGTTGACAATGTGAAAGTCACAATGCCATACATGTCAATGTGTTTAACCTATAGATAAATAAATCATTTTCTCTACTGAGGTTGTGACTGAACGATCAATTTTGCTATTAACTGTCATCCAGAGTTACCTACACGAATGATAAGACTTTTGACAATAGAAATAGTCACAATCACCACAATTCCGACTCGTTGTTTTAATTCTTTATTCCTCCATATATATTAAATGTACATATAAACATAAAACATTTTTTTTACAAAATGGCAAATGACACCTCCTGTAAAATAATGTGTGGTTAATAGATTCAACATTAATGGAAAAATATTAAATTAATTAGTTTTCTTTTATCTTTGACAGCAAAATTATCTCTTTAATTACTCTATTAAACCATTAAATTTTAAAAATTGTTTAATTGAAGATACTGTCAATAACTCCAGTCATAACAAACCATTCTTAAACAAACCTGCATGAGAATACTACAACTGACATCAGTTGAGCCAAATCTGTCTTTTCTGGGAAAATTAATCACTGGCAATACAAAACAAATTTTATAAAAATTTCACGCCATACCCGCACAGCAAAAAAACAAGTCTGCAAATAGACTTTTATAAGATTTACCCTTCAGAATCATCAAGTTTAAAAGAATGAATAAACAGAACTGACGACTAGCATCTATTGAGCGATGAACAAATTAGCTTTCTCAAGAGCCTTAATTTTTTTACTGTTAGTAAACTAATAAATATAATAGAGTACAGTAATACAGTTGAACACTGAAACTTCGTAATCTGATAACTAGGAAAGTTATTTGAAAATTTAGTTGAAATGAAGTCTGATATTTCTTACTCGGCTTTCTGAGCTGTCAGGTAACTGACCTGCCAACAATTGCCGTAGGCTTATCTTGGAAGTAAGGTCTGAGCTGCTAGGTAACTGACCTGCCAACAACTGCCGTAGGCTTATGTTGGAAGTAAGGGAAAGCAAGTGCAGTTTCAAGGCTAACTGCTGCCCTAGTCAACAATATGTCAGGCAATGCAAATAGCACTTTATAACTAGTGGTTATTGCTTGTCGAGTATTTGGCTGTATGTACTTCACTCACTTAACAGCAGTTGTGAGGTACAGTATAATTATGGCAATGCCTTATAGCCTTTCGTACGTGTTGGTGTATGATGTACTGTACTTAATGACAGAGTATAGATATTAAAATCTCTTATACATATTTGAAGTAATTTCAGTGTTGAAACCCAATACTGTTTTGCCTCAATGCATGATTTATATAATGGTGCTTGATAAAGCACATAATTATTGGTGTATGATAACTGTGTGTATAACTGATGACATGTGACAATGTCACATTCTATAATACAGTATTTTTTAAGGAATTTCAATATTTAACATCAATATTTGGCCTGATAACTTCACCTACACTGGTGTACATACTGTATAAGAGGATAAGGATAACAGACACAAGTATTTCTTCATTACATTTGTTCTGTAATGTTTGTTCTTTGAAAATTTCCATAAAATTTTCCCTTAGATTTGCAGAGTTGGTTAGGTCTGGTGAAATTTAATTTCAGAACTCATCTGGCCCTGACTGATCCGAACTTGCAGTGTTCAGCTGTACAATAATTTTGGTGATCACATTATTATTCCAAGGCATAAAATCATGTAGTTCTTATAATATTAAAAAAGGCACAATTTTTCTATTAAAACCAGATACTGCTTTTTTTAATATATAATTTTTATGTAGCTATCTCTTGAGGAAGCATTTACAGTGTTAATATTTTGTATACGATTAATCTAAATATAAAATATATTTCTGCTAAATCAAGTGTTATACTTCCTTTAAATTTTTGTATATTCTATTCAAATTGCATACAACACTGACACACACATGCACAACTAATGTTTAATTATCAATATGGACAGTAAGAAAAGTGATACCTTTTTTGCACATACTGTACCAGTTCATTCTTTTTCAATCTTTCTTAACCATATGCCATCATCTGGCTGACTGACAAAATTTTATTAAGCTACATATACATTTATTGTTCCAGAAAGGAAAAACATTACTATTAACAATTAAAATGGATTTCTGAAAACCTACTAAAATAAATTAATGTGTTTTAATAAATTGCATAACAACAATAAGACAAAGTATATTCTTATTTAAAGTAGAAGAGGGTGCAGAGTACCTGTGTGTGAGGATTCATGAATAGTCCCATACTGATCTGAAGTAAAGACAGCAAATACAGTATTTCATACTGTATTGCTAATTTTCAGTAGGTGACTTTACTGATATAAGTTAACCTACAGAGACTGTACATATCAGCTGTCTAATGCCTGTGTTTTTTTTTACATATATCTGAGAGTCATGCCATTTGTATTACTGAAGTAGTTTCATCAGACTATGAATACCGAGGAACCACTGCTTACTGATATTCTATCAATTTTTTTTCTGGTGAAAGCTGACATTCGTATATCTGCCAATATACAGAATTATCTGAGAATGTGAAAATCTCTATGTTTAAAACAAGAAAAGATCAGGTACAGTAACTTATTTCAAAAGGTAAGGTGTGGTAGGGAGATATTTTGTCATCAGAAAATTGGAAAATTACTCCTGGTGCAGGTTTTAGTCATATAATGATCCATTCAGTAAAACTTTTGTTCATTTTAAAGCCTGTTTGTTTTCCAGTCCACTATAATAAATATTAAATATCACATCATATGATATGTGCACAATATATAATTTTCTAATAAATTATATATGAAGCACACATCATAAGATGTGTGTGAATCATACTGAAAATATGTGCATGACATATAATTTATTCATTTTTTTTTTTTTACTTTGATTCACATTTGCAAACTTAATACCATTAAGTAACTGTAGAATTCCTCACTGAACTAAAAATAGGTAACCCATTATATAAACTTTCAAGTAAATTTGTTCTCATCCTCTATCCACTCCCTCACCTAAAAAAAGGGTCTGTAGGCATTTATGAGCAGCTGTAAGTTAGTATTATATCAACACAGTATAGCCTAATATCCACAGTCTCTATAAGGTACAAATACATACCAGATATACATACAATAACTACACATATTCATTTAACAAATTTTGGAATGGGATGATTCACTTGATATAAATTGAACGGCTAAATGGATATTTTCTTTTTCTGTGTTATTCTAACCTTACTACAGTATCATGGATATTACCTTGTGTTATTAAAGTATTATTATTAATTATTATGATTATTTTTAGGTTATTATTATTATTATTATAAAGGCTAGAATTTCAGTCTTGGCTTATGCAACATCTGCAAAAAGTGGGTGCTACATATATTAAAAATAATAAACAATATTAAATTGGTGTTACCATGCCAAAATTCTTGTATCATACTTGGGATAATGTGCAATTATTTTATTTTGTACTGCCCCTAAATCATATTAGAGCATGCTATATAGAAAGGCTTCATTTATTCTTAAAATATTTACTGTACTGTATCATTATCAATGTTTGAGAAACTTCAGTCACCATTATCAGAAGTTTTTTAACACGATTGTTTTAGGAAAGAATCCTAATGATGGTGATTGAATTTTCACAGGAAAATGAGTAATTAATGCAATAAATAGGTTATGAAGAAATCAAGTCTTTTGCAGTTATGAGGAACAACCTGCATGTTGTATATTATGGCATTGCAAAACATCAAGATAGTAGGATAGGAGGATAGGAATTTTCCCTTGTTGCTGCATCAGAAAGGTATTTATAAAATTACCCTCCCCTTCCTTGGATCAAACCCAATTACCAACCACTCCCTAGGCAATGTGCCTTGGTGGGACACAGTCGTTGAGATAAAAAAGAATGCTAAGACTATCCGAGTCAATAAATTAAAAAACAAAAAAAATGTTTTCTTGGTGTTAAACAAAGAAATTCAATGAGATGCAGAATGATCCCAAGCAGTATTTATGAACTTGACTTGATGTCACCATCATGGCACTGTGGCACCATTCTAGTCTTTAATACATGTCAGAATGTGCCCCAAATAATAGCTAAATGTTAACAATGTATAGATTTTTTCTTCTATACATTACAGGAAGAGAAAAGCCAGATATCTATATGTAACAAGGTTCTCTATTAACAATCACTAGAAATAAACATTAACAATACTGAGTATACAAAAAACCTGTCAAGTCTGATTACTATCACTTGTATTGCCATTGGTTTAGAATAATATGTACAATTAATGTTGCAATCACCAGTATGTGAACAGGAAAAAAGTTAATACCAAAGAAAATTGTCTCATGACCTACACAATAAAAGGGGAAAATAAATTTATAAAAAAGTTAAGTATTATTGTACATTGCTAAATACCATGAGTCATATATCCGAGAGGAAATCTGCTAGTCACTTTTGAGATTCTGCCAAGAAAATATTCTATATTATGATTCAATCAGAATAAATTCTTATGTAAGATATAATATGACAATCACTGAGCTCAAAGATTTATACATTACTGCAAGTAGTTAGGACACCATATTGTACGATGCTCAATAACAACATCTTAAAATTAGCAGATCAGAGAGCTGATATTACAGTACTACTATGCAATATATACATGACACTGATTTGGCAACCACAAAAATAGTTTTCCTATATATATCTAATAAGAAAAAACACAGACTTGACTGCTAAGACAAGCTTGTACTAATGATATTGTTGATTGCTATGTGACATTAAAAGGCAAAAAAATCTAATAACTGATGCATTTAATTACAATAAAATTCAGAAAACATATTTCACTGTTCAGTTTTTAATTAAAAGTCATGTAAGGTCATTACATTTTTTTTTTTTTTCAAAATTTTGCCTTGATATGAAGGGTAACCAAATAATATGATTATTTACACATTTACTGTACAATATTGTATGTACATATCCTACACTCCTACCAATGACATTGTGCCTTTGATGAGTCTGTACTGCTTATGTGGGAAGGAAATGGCTGAGGTGTAATGTGCAAATATTGTACATATACATTTCTTTGTTATTTCTCCAGAAAAAGTATAAATATTGCTTTCTTAGCAGAACTAGCTAACTGGGAACTTGCATATTCAACTTTGCTAATATAAAAGTATGCTATGATTTAAGAATATACAGTATATTATGCTGAGAAGCTTTTTAAAGGTAAATATTTATTAATGCATTTCTTATGACAATAAGAAAAGTTTTCAAATACAGTCAAACACAGTGATGTTGTACATAAAGATTCATGGATTTACTCTGTTATTATTTGGCTCTGATGGTTTTAATTTCCTTATCACGTAAACTTTTCTGAATGGCTTGATTTAAATACCTGGCATCCCTCGACTGATGGTCTAGTTGGTCTGAGAGGAGAGGACGACGTAAGCAATGTGCTTTTTTTTTTTTTAACCACTTGTGCTGTGGAAAACCAACTCCACCACTGACACCAACAGCCCAGTCAATCAACCCAACAACTGGGAGGTCTAGTTTGGGACTGGACCATAGGGGTAATGACCCCCTGAATTATCATAAGGTAAAAAACATAAAGCTGGGTGTTGACCAATGTTTGTTTACAGTGTCCTTCACGAGAGGTGCCTTGATTCTAGTGAAAGGCTTTTGATAAAATGAATGGGAGCTACCCTTCCATTTCTCTGAGTTTACTGCTCGCTATGAAATAAAATAAAGCATTTAGTGTAGGAGTGTAACTTTATAACCTAAATTGAAGCTTTTCGATCAATTCTGATCTAAATAATGGGGCTATGCTCACTCAGAATAATAATTTACACCTGTGATAAGGAAGATACACTATTTTAAAAGGTAAAAGAGCAATAAGATCTGGTAGTAGTACCATACTGGTGTTTAAAGGAATGAACAATGAAACAAGCATTTTTCAGCTCATGAGTTCAATTCCACAATATTCCATTGGCAGTTGTCATTCTCTTCCTTTTTCTTTTAAATACTGTACTATACTAGCTCAGCTACTGCAAGATTTCTGGGAGCGTCAATTGTCTTCAATAGTGACTAGAAAGACGTTTTAATGAAATTACAATTAGGCTTCTGGCCATTCCCTCTTCAGCACTCAGCTGACTGCAAAATGATAACACCAAGTTAAAATATAGTTATCACATGGAGAGGTACTTGGCACCACTCTGAGAGCAGTGTTAAGCCAAGTAAACAATCAGTCTTTTGACTTGTCCTATTCATCAGAACACAACACCATTTTAGATGTTTTATTCATAGCACTGAAATGCTTACTCTGTTTACTCTCCTTTCTGATAGTCCCACCTATATTTTGGATTATCTCTAATTTTTTGAAAATACAGATTTACTATTTGGACTGTGATCTCTTGTCAGTGTTCTTTCCCCAACATTGCCACTGTCCCTATAATTTTTCCTTACTCTTGTTTATAATGCTGAATGATTTACAAAGGTTTAGGATTTTCTACCTTAAGACAAACTACTCAGGTATTGTCCAGAATCTGATTGTACTAAAGAACTGAAAAAATTGAAGGGATTTCCCATTCAGGATAGTGACACTGTTATATGAATGTTTAAACAGCAGTACTGTACTGTGAAGGTGTTCTAATTTCTGGAAGGATTTTGATTATTATTATTATAATCAAAACCCAGCACTAAACCCACTAGGGTCAAGAAAGGATTATGAGACCTTTCTGGGTGTTTTCAGAAACATCTCAGTATTACAATAAGTGACCACAGCCATGGATGGTTGTACAGGTTTAAACAGTGTCCGTGCTATTTGTTAGGTACTGTAATCAGTTTGTCAGAGTTGCTACATACTTTCAATCTGGTTTTTGTGGAAAAACATGATTTAATCCTTAATAAAACATACAGTTTTGACCAAACAAGATTTTATAAGAGCTGGAAAATGTAATATTACAGAATGGTTCTGGTCCTCATGTACAAAACAACAATGCAAGACTGTAGATGATCTAGAAACAAATGCTTTAATTAAGCAAACAGTTTTTTATATAGTTCTCCAAGGAAGTTAAATGTGAGGAATATAGGTGTCCCTCATTTTATGCTGTAGATGTGTTACAGGCCCTTAGTACCATAAACACTTAATTATGCATAATAAGAATCTTCAAAGAGCTCTGTAAACCATGCTCATCATACATAGTGACTGTAAACTGCATATGCAGTATCACCAAAAGAAATAAGACATCGCATAATGGCGAGTTTACATAAAGTGAATCCGCATAGAGGGCAAACCTATATTTTATCACGGGTGGCTCATTTCTTGGACTACAACTGGATTATTGTATGTTGTCTGGTTGCAATATAATCATTCAGTTCTTTAAATATTATTAGTCATCATTCTTCATTTTATTGTCATCTGTTTTGATTACTCATAACTTTCTCTACCTTGTTTATTAGTGGTTGGCATCATCAATACAGTATCTACATGAAATATTATTTCTTAGGGCATGCAAAAAAAAAAAAGTGACTGCTAGTGAAAGATGCTTGTAAAAATCCTTGGTAAATGTATCCAGTATTGTTGGATCAATATTTGAAAGTGTGGAGGGAGTTGCTGTCTAAAATCCTTGAGGAAACTTTTGCATATAGAAGAGACATAACACAGAAAAAATATAAAGAACTATATGAAGACAGGTCAACAGTATGACACAATCAACTGATTTTTATGCCTTTGTAACAGATATTGAAACAAATTACACTATTTCTTCTAAAGAAAAACATGCCTAGTACAGAAACATAAAAGTCACAATACTTTGGCTGGGACAATTTGCAACTAACCCACAATTTGGAGACGCTAAATGACGTTTTGATCTGCACTAGACCATTATCAAGTCGTGACCTGTGACTTCACAATGGTCTAGGATGGACTGGAATGTCATCTAAAAATTCCTCTCCAAATTGTGACTCAGTTGTGAAATAGTAAAGGCTCTCTGGTTAGCTTATTATAGTTACTGTAGTTAGAAATGAAATGGGCACATTAGTGTTTATCCAGTGAGTTGAAATAGCGAGATTCTTAGGCCAACTAGCTTACAATAGATTCACCAAAAGGCACAACCTGCCATAGGTCACAATAACAACAGTGTGGGCTTGACGACTTCTATGGAAGTTAACTTTAAGCTGACAAGATATAGTTTACATTCATTTAGGTTATTTTTTATGAACATACTGTGTAAAATGTGAATTATCTTGAAGCACTGTTTTAGTACAGTACAGTTTTCTCAGATATACTGTTGATTAATGTATATTTTTGTAATAATTTAACATATGATTGTCTTAGTGAATATTGATGATTGATAATTAGGAATAATTAGAAACAATAAGTTATTTTTATATATAGCCTATACAGATTTACAATGAAGCAAGTTCTTGTATTAAATTGAATATTCATTAAGTTAAAAGTGATAATATAACTATCTAACAGAACAAGGCTCTTGACTGGTGGTATTTCTACTAATTTATACTGAATAAATAAAAATGTGATCCAGATAAAAACTTCACTGCCGGTGAATGTGCCAATATAAATTACATTTCTTATTAGCAAATACATAGTGTCGCAAAAACAATATTATTTTTTATGACAGACTGCCATGTGCAACTTGCAAGACAGTAACAATATCTGGTCATGCTTAGCTTATTTTCTGATATGGATAAACAATTTAGCTATGTTTAGCAAATCTGATATTTACCTTGCAAATGCTGGATTACAGAATTAAGGAAATTATTATGATTAAGCCTACCATTACAACCCCAAATACTTGTTTTTTTTTTTTTTTTTTTGCTAAAATTAATCTTAAATCAAATTATGAAATGGTGGCATAAAATTACAAGTACATACTGTATTATGAAATCTGCTTACTATATGGTCTCACATTTAAAAAAAATCACAAGAAATAATGCATCAACAGAAAATTCACCTCAAAGAGAAGATAAATTAAATATAAAACAAAATCTTGATAAAACTATAATAGTGCTCTCTGATATGATACAATCAACTTAACTATAACCTGTCCTCAAAAGAGCTGTACGCAACATTGCAGTTTTAACATGTTTTTAACCATTTGACTCCTTTCAGCTTGGAGGATACCTGAAGCGTGCTCTCTAATGTTTTTTTTATTTAAGGAACATAAATGTTTTTACGTTGTGTACAACTGGGTGGTTTGTGACCATAAGGATGGAATACCTATTAAGGTATCTTACTTGAAACTGATGTAGTTTTATATTTTGTTAGTTTGATATACTGTATCTAACAGACATACAGGACACACCTGTATTATAGTCAAAATAATTTAGGATATCTTAATATACTGTTCTCAGTAATTTGGAACTGGCATTAACTGATAAAATAAAAATGAAAAAATGCATACTGTATATTTATAATTACGTACTGTAATGTAAAATTATTCTTGCTGTAAAAGCAAGAAGAATTTTGTTAATACAGACTGGACATCAGGAGACATATTAATATACAAAAGTTACAAGATCATAATCCTGTAATTTATTTACTAAAAAAATTTAAACTTCAATGGAATTAATGTAGCAGAATGATAAAAAAAAAAAAATATCCATAGTGGCTACTTTTCCCAGAGGCTTTAATAACCCTCATAATTTCAAATAAATATCATGCACAGAATAAGCCAGAGAGATACAGACAGTGCTCTATCATAGAGCTCTTAGGATAAATTAAGTTAAAACTTTACGAAAATAATGCAATAAATTGTGTAACCATGTAAACTCTTGTAAATATGATGTCTGCAAGTTGTACAATGGCAATATTTTATTAACACATAATTCATAAAAATTGTGTGTAGTAAGTTTAGACTGTAAAAATACTTTTCAACTGCAATACCATGCACTGTAACCGAGAAATATCCTGCATTTAAATTAATTAATGATCATTATGCACGGAATAATGTAGTCTGTACCAACACATGCATCGGTAGAGAAATTCCTTTCATCTAGACCCCTAACACTGTACATATGTGCTTAATCGGCTTAATTTGGCACTAAGCTTAGCTAAGCTTCACATGCTGATATTTTCCGTAAGTAGCAGATTTATATAAAGCATTATAAACATGTGATGCTAAAATTTGCTGGTGATGGCTGCCTTTCACTGTACTTTTTTGCTTAACCCAAAAATGTCTGTATCTATGCTTTCTCGCAATAATAACTATCACATCGGATCCCTAGTCAATCACTTCCATACGAAACTTGCCACCCTGGACTGTAAGACCTCCATCGTCGTCATCATCCTCACCCGCAGGAGAATCGTGATACTCTTCAAGCTGAAACGGAAATTATATTATTAAATTTTCATTTCCTTGTCATAATCAATAAAATTTCTAGCAATAAAAATTTAGCTATTATACATATGCATCAAATTAAAAATAAATTTTCTAGAAATACTTTACGTTAAATTATAGTTGCAGTATGTTATATGAGTTTAATAAGAAAAAGCAACTGGAATAACAGGCATCCTTAGCCACCAAGGCAGTGCCATGGTAGAAATTTTGTATGCAAGTTTCTGAAGTGCTGGTCCTGCACTAATCTATATTAATAGTTTTGATACCATATTAATGGATATGTGCCTGTTTGTAGAAATTTATTTTGCAGCACTAATCACAATTCTTTTTTATACACAAGATGGTTACTTTCATTAATGGATTTTAAAAGATACAAGAAAATGAAATGCCAATCAACAAGAACAAAAATTTACAAACTCAAAACTGATAGCTAAGCAATGGTCTACTGCTGTGGATATATTTTCAAGTCACATATACAGAAAATAACAAGTGGGGACTTCCAGGACAAGATAACCAATATTTCTGGGGATTTAATACCCCACCATTATCAATCTTTTCTAATTTGTTAATACATACAGTATTATAGATTATCCTATGGTCTGAACTCACATCTGTAAATCTTAGCTCAATGTTATTGGTCATGGACTTTGCTGTAGAAGCATTGACCCTTGAAACACCCTCTGCATAGGTAGGTCAAGAGTTATGACCTAGGTTATTTTGAGATAATAAATCATGCACATTGCCTATTAAATTATACATATTTGGAATCACCAGAGTAAACTCTTGATTTAACTGACTTTGTGAATACAGGACAAAATCCACTGGATCAATTGATTAGGAAACAACGAAGTCCATTGGTTACACAATTGTTCATTACCGTTACTGCCATTACACAACAATCTCATCTCTTCACTACACTTGCCAATACCAACCATATGCTTTATCTTGTTAGTTCTTGTTTAATGTTTCACCTTTTAACCTATTCTCTAGGTCATATGACCTCTATGAATCTGTGTACTCTGCTGATTTCAAATACATACAGTTTAAATTATATACACACACATGTACACACATACATGCACAGGTACACACACATACATACATATGCATATATTACAAACATTTATCTCAGGCCAGAGGAGACTCAAATACGAGCTTTGGGACAAAGTATGCAGTACTATACACACCACCCTAGATTGACAATACTCTGACGATCAGCCAAGCTAAGCATTAGATCCAGAGCAATCGGCAGAAGGCTTGTGATTAGTTTTTCATCTCTTCTCCCTCAAGCACCAACCAATGAATGATATTATAATATTTAGACTTCACATGCAAAGCAGTTACAAACATTTATCTCAGGCTGGAGGAGACTTGAACCTACGAGCTTTGGACAAAGAACACAGTACTATACACAATGCACCAGACTGGACAACACTCTGGTGTCCTGAGATAAATGCTTGTAAATATTTCACCTGTTCTGTAAAGTCTACCCCTCAAGGGAGGTTCCTTGATGCTGGTGAGGGGCTCTTGATCTAGGGAATTGGATCTGTGGTCCAGTTCCCTGAATTAAGCCTGAATACCTTCCATGCACCACAGGCGCTGTATAATCCTACAGGTTTAGTGCTTCCCCATTATAATAATAATAATAATAATAATAATATAATAATACTGTGCAAAGTCTAAACATACATACATAAGCCATAACTTATGACCCAAACTGTAGGTCGACTGAGCAAATATTTACAGATGCGAGATGACCCTTACAGGTTTAGCACAGAGTTACAATTATAATAATATTTACAGATGCCAGTTCAGGGCACAAGAGATTTGGGGGTGAATACGGTGAGGAGAGTTACAGGCGGTAGGGTGCTAGACACTGGTTGTCTTGAAATGAAACTCTCCAGCCTCATCTTTGTTGAGTGACTAACTTCTAGAAGATGCCAACATCTAAATTTATTATCTTTGATATTTTGGATCCTTCTCTCAGGGTGCCTAACACAGTTTTCATCCTGCCTACCATAGTCTTTGTCCACCGAGACATCTTAAATAATGATAATAATCTTTATTTTTAAAAGTACATGTACAAAGTAGTATATAGGACTAGCTTATATCAATGACATACAGGTACTCCTCACTTAACAACCTACCTGTTCATATTAACAACTGCTCGGACTTATGACCAGCTCTCCGATCAGTGTTTCATATGTGTATTTTAACTTTTTTATTGCTATTAAGCCTAGTTCTGTTTTCAACATATAAAAATGTTATAAATAGTGCAAAAGTGACATTAAATCAATATCTAAAGATGGCTGACACAAACCCACCACCAGTACAGATTGCTTGAAATATCAGTAAAGGGCAGCTCCTCGCTTAACGACCAATTTGCTTACTGATCTACTCATAGGAATGGAACTCTGTCTTTCAGTGAGGAGTACCTGTACTATTATATAGAAAGTCCCTTGTTATGTAGAGCATTTCGAGCAAACTAGGTAAATTTTGTCCCCAGGATGCAACCCACACCAGTCGACTAACACCCAGTTACCTATTTACTGCTAGGTGAAAAGGGACAGAAGGTGTCTTAAGAAAACACATCCTAATGTTTCCACTCATACCGGAGATCAGACCATGGACCTCAACTTGTGAGCTAAGTGCGCTAGCAATTGAGCTATGGGACAATGCCACCAGATCCTAACATCACTGTTCATTCATCTATATACTCTTCACTCTACCATTTCATTTCTCTTTACATATTCTCATGCTGTTAAATGTCCACATTATACATAATTATAAACAATAATCAGTTAAGAAATGTGGGTTTTTGTTATTTTTCTAGTTGGTGCTAGAGAGAGTACTGTAATTAGAACTTATTCTTTTTCCAAAAGCATATATTTTTTATGCAATGGTATCAATGGATTTGTAATATACTGGACACACTTTATTGTGTAAAATTCAGTCAAGAAATATACATATTTTTTTACTGTTTGTAATAAGGGTTTAATATATTTGATTTCTCATCAATATAGTCAGCTGTCTTTTTTTTAATTATTATATACTGTGTATGTTGTGTTTTAAATTTTTTTGGCTAAAATTTGTCAAGAAATATTCAGTAATTTTCTTTAATTTTGATAAATGAATTTTATTTATTAATATTTTATTAGGATCAGCATTAAGTACACTGCACTGTGCACATACTTTTTTCACGCAATACCTGAATGCAGTATTTTCTGCAAATCTGGAGTTTTCTTACCCATCAGCATTTTTACTTACGATATAACTTCCCACAGGTCTGGAGTTTCTTACACACTGATTGTAATTTTCCCACAGCAGTCGACTAACAGATATACAGTGGAACCTTGGTTTTTGTATGCCCTAGTTTGTATGTAAAACTATAGTTATTCTCTATAAAATACATTTTTTGTTAATATTTTTGGGTGTCTGGAACGGAGTAATTGGATTTACATTATTTCTTATGGGAAATATTAACAAAAAATACATTTTATAGAGAATAACTATAGTTTTACATACAAACTAGGGCACACAAAAACAAAAGTTCCACTGTATAAGACACAGAAGCAGCATGAATCTTCACTAATGGTTGTTTGTTTGCACTGGAGCTCCATCAAGTTAATGAATAAAGGTTCCACACTACTTCTGTCTTATATGTCCATCGTATCATTTCACTATACTTTTCCTCTTATAGTGGCTAATACCTTGGAGCTTATTTTAAGTGCCAAACAGTGGCAACATGTAAATGGCAGTAGCTAAACATTTCACCTCTCTTGAGTATCAGACCTACAACCTTTCACATATATGCTGAATATCACTATGTAGTTATTCTTTTAACTACAGTAGCTGACTGGTACATTTGAAATGTGTAATAATGTTGATTTTATTTTGAAAGCTGGTTATGAGGACAGATTTCTGCATTGTTTTAAAAGAATCATTTTTTTACCTTCGGTAAATTTATGATGTTCTTATATTTCTTAGCTACTAAAACAATCGACTATTTTTTTTTTGTTTACCGAAAGCTTGTCACTAGTCAAATGTGAGTTTTTTCTTTTTTCCTTTCTAATCTGTTGCAATTAAATTAATTATTGTATTGTTTTAAGTTATTTCATACATGAGTAATGTTCTCTTAATTTTCTGGGAAAAATTATTCAAGAAATTTGTATTTTCTAAAGATGGTAATGAGGACTGAATAAATAAATAAATAAATAAATGAATAAATAAATAAATAATATGTATTAAAAAATACTTATTTATATTTATATATTTTCTCCAGTTACTCTTCAAAATGCATTTATTTTTTGGTGTATGGATGTATGGTGAATTGTGATATTCCTCTATTTGTTTGGTTAAAATTGGTCAAGAAATTTATTTTCTATATATTACAGGTCACAAATAGTCAGTGGGTTGAATCAATAAAATTATACTGTCCACTGCTTTTGCAATGTGATGAGAAACTTGCCCAGTGTGACACTGGCCAGAGTTGGTATCAGTTGCTATGTATACAAAACATATACAGCAATCATACTTTTATGAGTACTATCAAGAAATATTTATTATTACATCTACACTGATTAATTCATAATATTCTCTGAATACATAAAAGATTTGCCAGCTCACTACAAAATGCTTTTAATACAGGTATTAAATACCAGCATATAATCTACTTCTATTATATTCAAAAACATCAGTCTGACCTTGCAGTTCTAAAGACATTAATCGTCAGCCTCAAAGATAAGTCCTTCGAGAAATGATAGGCCTGTAAGATGACACATAGTGTCTTTATTATATACATGTCCCATCAATGAACTAGGTCTACAAAAAAATCATTTTAGCGTCAGAACATGCCATTGATATCTCATGCAACGTCACAGGTGGTTAACACAGATGGAAAGGAAGGGGATGCTGGAAGTTTTCTTTTCTTGAATCTGATGATAATATTCAAAATGTTGACTAAATTACGGAAAGTCTAGAAAGGTATTCATGGCAGTTTTTCCCAAAGAGTAAAATAAATTTTTTATTGGATACTAAAGTATCATTATGTATTAAATTTGGTAGAATTACTGACAATATGTTAAGTAAAAGGACACAAATGTAACTAATGGGACATTTTATTGTGGCAATGTTTCACTCTCCAGGAGCTATGTAACGGCTTGACATAGCTCCTGGAGAGTGAAACATTGCCACAATAAAATGTCACACTAGTTGCATTTGTGTCCTTTTACTTAAACTATCATTAATTAGGGCTTAAGACATATTTTAGAAAAATTTGCTTTTTTAAATGGTATTAATTATGTGATTAATATAAGATATACCATATATATTTTTTTTACCAGTGAAGCATATTAATTTACAAAAGAATGAGAATGGAAGAAACTACCAAACAAAAAAGAACTCTCAAAACCCACTGCATTTATTATCAGTGAAATATTTCTTTACTCACTGGACTTGTATATAGTCCAAATTCCAGAATCCGGACGTGGTAGCTGTGCATGAAATCAAGAAAATGGACAGAGTGTTGTTAGTGGAAGGAAGGAAGGCAGAAAGGAAGGATCAAAGCATAAATCTTAATCACAAAATATGCCTGCTGAATACACACAGGCCAGTTACTATGTGTGTCATTGATCTTTAAGATGACAACAGTATAGTACTGTGCATATCCATTGTCTGACAAATTAATGATAAACTCAGAACCCACCAGAATTAAGAAAGAGGAAACCGAATTACAGCACTATACAATTACTCAGATTACATCTTGCTGTCTTATGCATCATGAATTTTAATTGGACCTTTTTACAATAGTAAGCCAAACTCTACTTTATCAATATACACTGCTCAAACATACGTAAGAAGAACCTAAGAGTTTGAGCATGTTTAATATTCTTCTCAAATACTCACTAGTTAATGCTAAATTATGATGGCTACAAATATAATAGCTTTACCATAGGGCATGGAATATCATATTTTTCTGCTGGTGTTCATATGAAATGCAGTTTTTTAGTACAGTATATACTATTATAAGTTATGAAATATATGGTTAGTTGAATATTCAATTTAGACTTTATTATTATATATTCTATACAAAAGGATGACAAATTTTAATAGTTAATGAAATCATGCTAAATATTTCATGTTTTACTCATTATCTGTTGATATGGTAAATATATTACCAATGAATATGCTGTTTAATAATGAGAATATTGGAAGTGCCTTGTTGATGGTGAAGGGGCTCTTAACTGAAAAAATTGGAGCTACCCTCCATTCCTTTGGATCAAAACTGATTACTATACCTCCCATTCCCCAGGTACTGTATAACCCCCTACAGATTAAATGTTTCCTTGTGAAAATAATAATATTGGCCATATTCTGTGCTTTTGTACAATCAGTGCTGTTTACAAAAGAAGTGATGAATAATAAAATAGTAGTGAAATATTGTACAGTATTAGTGAAATATTCAACACACACAGATAAATAACCTCTATGTGTGTAATGTGGTGAAGAACAAGCTCCCAGAGGCAGTGCATGTGGAAAAAGCATCAATGGGCAGACCAGTGTGGCATTTTATGTGGCATCGTATGATAGGAAATCAATGTTAACAAAGATGTGCACTGCTCATTATCATTATCTTGTACACACATCTCTTCAGATGGAATGAGCAGGGCATGTGAAGTGTGTCCCAGGTGCTCATTCCAGCTGAAGTGATGTGATATGGCACAATGATACTCGGTCCAACTCTTTAATTTAAAAGTGGTTTTCTGTCACATATTTCCATGTGGTGAAATTATCAAGAGTGGCATGTATAGTTTACCTCTATACTGTATTTTCTGTCTAACCCAAGCAGCCAGTGGCATGAGCACAGCCAGTTTTGAGTCTGGTGATACTGTTTGGCCTGCTCATGCTTCCATAAGGTGAAGAAATTGTTAGTACATAAAAGAAGAGAATGCACATTACAAGAAAAATTTGACGCCGAAGAAAAAAATTTCTAAACATCTTAGCCACTGTATTGAAATTCAACAAGTGTTAGTCTGAGTATTAAAAATGTATGTTACATAATAATGTTGCTGACAAGAAAGATTGTACACCTTTGGATGGAAGATATTATTATCAATGAAAAAACAGAAAATACAGCTCACATGAAACACACACAAACACACACACACACACAAGATGCTTTAGGGGTAATAGTTTGTGATTTAGCATTGTAAAATGTTACAGTAAACGAACATATTACATGTCATGCTGTGGTACATTGGAGGCAAGGATGTGTTTTTCTTGGTACAAAAATTCATTAGAGGTAGATGCCAGCTTCAAAAAGAAATATAAAAACCAAGCTCCTCTATATGATTTTAGAAATAAGAAAGACTAGTTTCACATCCTTCTCCAAGAGGTTAGTCTTGGTACTTACATCTGTTACCTCAATCTTAATCTATCCACAAGTCTGGTTGTAAAGACAGCATAAAATATTTGGTAAGTAAAATAATTTCAGATTAACAGTAAATTTATATTAGAACTACGTACTGTAAAGGTCACTTCAAGAGAAGGGGTGAAGGTACCTTGAAGGTGAGAGTTCTTGATCCAAGGAAGTTGAGCTACCTTCCCCTTCCATGGATGGAACTTAATTACCCTCACCCCTCCCATGTCCCGGGTGCTGCATAACCCTTACAGGTTCAGTGCTTCCCACAAATATAATAAAGGTCCTGTTTCTGACTTCCAGCTTTCCAGGTAACCCAATTATTAATTTTTTCTGGATAAATATATATCTAAACTTAAAAGTTCATAAGTCAGTTGGTGGAGGAGTTTCAACCACTTTCTGCATATCCAAATCCCAGATCATTGTTCTTTTGATACCTTGGAGCTGTCAATATTTATTCAGCAATTGTATTCATCTTTACTACTAAATGCAAATAATTCAAATAACATAAATTTCTTCATTATGTCAATGCTGATAATGTACTGAAACTGTGCTGCCAAACACAACAATAAGAGAAAATGTGTTGGTAGCAAGAATGTTAATTACTGAACACATCAAACGAAAGAGTCCCTCGAGTGCGGATATACCATGATGATTAAGATGTGTGTACAACAGCTGGGTATCTTTATTGCTGAAATGTTCAGTCAAATGCAGAGGCAACAGGTGTCTTAATCATCAACTTATCTGTATTTTATACCATTTTCAAGATATACTGTGAGTATAATATTAAGAGAAAACTGCTGTTGACATCTTAACCCTTTCAGGGTCCAAGGCCCAAATCTGGAGTCACGCACCAGTGTCCAAGAATTTTAAAAAAAAAAATTTGTTATTTTTTCTTATGAAATCATAGAGAATCTTTTTGTGAAGGTAATAAAACAAAAAGTACGAAATTTGGTGGAAAATTGACGAAATTATGCTCTCGCGAATTTTGATGTGTCAGCGATATTTACGAATCGGCGATTTTGCCGACTTTGACTCCCATTTTAGGCCAATTACATTATTCCAATCAACCAAATTCTTAGCTATTTCACTAGTATTACTTCTATTCTATCGATTGAGCACAAGAAATCGCCAAGTCAACTGTTTCAACTACAAAATAAAGTGATCGGAAATTGTTAATTTGGCCAATTTAACAAAAAGTTCAAAATATTCCAATTTCAAAATAGGGTCCAGAATGAACAATGTAGGCATTCCTGGCACTAAACTAACATTTCTCTGTTCATTAGTTTATGTTTTGAGGCTTTACAAATAAATTCCATTTTGATTTTTTATTCACATAATGAATTTTTATTCGCACCAAAAAATAGAAGATTTACTGTTATGCAATACTGTAATAATTGTATAAATATCATCACCATATTTGTGAATGTATATTAAACCCACCAGCTAGCGTGTATAAGACGTGTGAGGTCGTTTGTTTACTCTTGAATATCGGCAAAAATTTAACATTTCTGCTACTTTGAGCTCAGTTTCAAGCCATTTCCAGTGCTAAAACCAATCAAAATCATCTCTATTTCTGTAATATGTCTTCCATTCTATCAAATGAGACCAAGAAATCGCAAATACAACTATAAAAAACATACGAAAAAACACTGCAAAGTTGCAGTTTTAATCGAAAAATCATGATTTCATTTTTTTTCTCTCATTATACACAGTGTGCTGCAGGATCTGTTTTATGTGGTGCACACATACCACATAGATGTATTCTCTCATATCTAGGCCCAAATGTACCACTCACAGTTTATCAGAGTGAGCTGAGCTCATGGCGTAGATCTACGGTTTGGACCCTGAACGTAAAGCCGTAGATCTACGGGACGGACCCTGAAAGGGTTAAAGGCCAAAGATAATGTGCTTGGGTTTTATTCTTCCATGGGATATATTGAGTATGAATCAATGTAAAGCAATGAGTTTATTTAAACTTGTCTAAGTTTTTTGATAAAATTCTGATGTATATTTGGAGTATGTTGAGTATATTCATTACTGATTTCATGTATTAACAGTGCTAAATAGTAATCTATCCAAGTATATTTTTTGATATAGTATTTCATGTGCAATGGTAGCAAGATAATAGGACCTTTATTACGTCTTAAATTTCAGCTATTTTTTCATGCAGTAAATATCTTTCCCCCACTTGAGCTAAATGGGACCATCAAGCAGTTTTTTAATGTTCAATTGGTATGATCAACAGAATATAATCAGAGCTTCTTAACATAATACAACATTTATAATATGTAATTTATGCTGACCAGAAGGAATACATTGTAAAATAAATACATAATGTAAAATAAATAGCATGAAGAGTAGGGAAAAGGAGAAAAGGTTGATCAAACAGCTAACGAGTAACATATACAGCTTAATGCAAACTGATGCTGTAGGAGCCCTAAGAGTTAAGTGCGTCCCATGAATGAAAATAATAATACGTATAGCCAAACTGACCCTTCAAAAAGGGTGCCCTCATACTGGTAAAGTGCTCGTGATCTGAGAAATTGGAGTTACCTTTCACTTTCTCAGATCATGCCTGGCTGCCTCTCATTTCCCAGATGTATGACTTTTATGGGTTGAGCACCTCCCCATGAATATTAAAAAAAAAAAAACAATAATTAGCCCTGACACTGGTGAAAAGCTCTTAATACAAGAAATTGTTACTCTTCCCTCCCTTGGATCAAACCTAATAACCCCCAGGCATTTTAAGGCCCAATGTGGGTTTAGCACTCCCACACAGTTTACCTGGAGAGAATTATACAGTATAATTATAATAATTACACCATACCAAACAAGGAATAACAATCTTTAAACATTAAAATCAGAAGTGCCAAGATAAAAATTAGACAAAACATAAGGATATAATATACAAAAGCAAATATGGTAGGGCAATCTACAATGTCTCTGAGGTAAAGGGGCATAACAAACAAAAAGGAGCCAGATACTGTAGGTCTAACAGAAACCAAATTAAAGGAAAATATATTAAAGACAAGTATTTTATTCTGCATGAAGGAGATAAGAATTAGTAAAAGA